CATCATTACGTCGACGGTATTAGACTCCCCAAGCAAACTCGGGTCTCCCAGCTCAGGGTCCCTGAACACAACAGTGGTTCCCAAAAATCCTGTAGGTGATTCGACCCACGTTAAGAGAGCCCAAAAGAACCTAAGCTGAGCATCCTAAGTGTTGCTGTACGGAAAACAACTGGTGATTTGGTCGCACAGTCTACCCCCAAGACTGTTTGTCTGGTCACCAAAGAGACCAAGACTCAAAAACGCGCCTTGACCTACAAATAACAAGGTATTAAACCTGAACCCATCGTGAAACCTGGTAAATTAGCAACAGTTCGTGACGATTCTCTCATTATCATGAACCTCATTGACAATCGTAACCTTCCTCTCAGTCTGTAGGACAAAAATGATAGGATGCTCTGGGGTGAATCGAACAAGAAGCTCGAACTCCCTTGAATAGAGCCTTTGACGGTCACCCAGCTCACTCGATGAAAGGATTCTAAGCATCTAAATCACCCGAGACACTTGAGAATGCTACCGACGTAGAGGACGTCTTGCTAGCCAGTCACTTGCTGAAATCCGATGGGAACGTACGAATATTGCCCGACATACCGTACTCTGAACGCAATATCATACAGAACACCCCTAAATAATCTCGCGAGTTTTTCCGCGAAAGAAATATAATTGTGCAAGGTATACCGGAAAATACAGACCCTACTCTGACATCAGGGAATAAAAATTCATTAAACAGTCCTTGAGGCTCTAACACATACTGACTCAGCATGTGACGAGACTAGCCAAGAAGGACGGTGATCTTAGACCCCGTCTAATGAAGATAACCTTCCCATCTTCCCACATGGCGGCTGTAGTTCTGGAAGCATTTCGTGCTAATAGACGTCGATTGCCACCTGGAATCCACATGCACCCGGATAGGCCATACGAAGTTAGGACCAAGAACAAAGGCAAGTTGGAGCTGACCATTCCACTTGTGGACTGTCTAAACGATAAAAAAAACGTGTAAAGGACAGGGCCTACCACCTCGGCAAACCTCATATAGGTGGGCTACCTGTCCATTCACATAAGGTTCATACAGAAAAACAGGACGAAGCTCATGCGTTCCAAATTGAAAGCATAAACTGCTTATATATGAACGCCGCGAGTTTACCAAACAAACTGGATGAACTACGTGAACTTAGCAACGCTAATAAGGCCCATCTGATAGGAATATCTGAAACCTGGATATCTTCTCAGTTCTCGGACCAAGAGTTAGCATTACCTGGGATGACTTTGTTCCGCAACGACAGAAAAACAGGAATTGGGGGCGGAGTAGCCGTATATATACTTTCTTTCTTGGAGGTGCACCAAGTTCATAATCTCGAGTTTAATAGTCTTGAGGAATCCATATGGTGCTCTGTAAGATTGTCTAGTCCTTTGGGGTGTCTATTCGGAGTCATTTACAGGAAGCCAACTGCCGGCATCGAGTACGATAGTCGTATGCTGGAAGGACAATCCCGCTCTACTCGTCTCAGTTTCACACACGTCCTGATTCTAGGGGACTTTAATCTCCCTAGAGTCAACTTCGCAGAACACATGTATACTGCAGGCGATAACTCAATTGAAACTCGGTTCCTCAACCTCATCGATGACTTGGGATTATACGAAAATGTGAGGTCGGCAACTCGTTGGGGAAACAGTCAGACACCATCGCGCTTAGACTGTTTATTCACAAACGAAGAATTCCTGGTTGACAACCTCTCAATCCTGGCTCCTCTGGGAAAGAGCGATCATGCCGTCATAGCTTTCAGTTTTGTCATCAAAACTAAGCTAAGGTGTCCCTCCAATAACTTGCGTTGGGATCTTAAACGGTTGAATGTGCCAGCTCTACATGACTATCTACAACAGGTGGTTTGGGATGTTCACCCTCAACTCGATGTGGATGGTCATTGGGACTTCTTACTGCACACGCTCTTATGTGCTACAGACCATTCAGTTCCTCAAACGGTTCCAAAAAGCTGCAAGCCACCTACAATAATCAAGAACCGTACCCTTGGCCTGCTAAGCCGCAAAAGGCACTGTTGGGCGGAATACAAACGAACTAATAACGATGAAGCGTATGGGCAATATAAACATATCAGGAACATATGCACGAAGGCTATAAGAGAAGACAGGCTTCAGTACTAGACAAAGCTTATGGACAAATTTGCCTCTAATCCTAAAAGCTTATTCCGTTATGCAGCCTCCCTTCGTCAAGCCAAAACTGGAGTAACGGCCCGGCCAACAACGATGGCGACGCCGCTAACCTTCTGGCTGAATATTACTCTCAAACATTTCAACCGGCTGACATCAACTTTACTGACGACAGTTTCATCTGCAATTCCACAGGACTCTCCGAAGTGAACCTAAGCGCTGACTTGGTGTTCTGGAAATTGCAGCACTTAAAATTAGACACTTCTCCTGCCATACTGAGGGAAGCAGCCTCAATCCTGACAACGCCGCTTAGCGTGATGTTCTCACACTCGCTAAGCCGAGGCAAACTACCGGGAAATTGGAAGTTGGCTCACATCACACCAATTTTCAAAGGAGGTCGACGCAATGAACCTCCAAGTTATCGGCCAGTGGCTCTTCTGTCATTACCTTCAAAACTCATGGAGTCCCTGATATGCAACTGTTTAAATGACTATCTACTGTCCTTAAATTTCTCACCCCAACGGCATGGTTTCAGGAAGGGCTACTCTTGTATAACCAACCTGCTGACTGCGGTGGACAGATGGACAAGCATCCTCGATCGCAAGGGAAAGGTTGATATCATTTACCTTGATTTCTCAAAAGCTTTTGATAATGTTAACCATTTATGTTTTATCAGTAAGCTCAAACGACTGGGTATCAGACCACCTCTAATCGATTGGCTTACTTCATACCTGAAAAATCGACACTTTAAGGTTAGGATTAATTTCACTTTATCTCAGGCTATGGAATGTCCTAGTGGGGTCCCCCAGGGCTCAGTACTAGGACCTTTTCTCTTCTTGATCTACATAAATGATCTTCCTCAACAGGTAACGTCAGACTTATTACTTTTTGCTGACGGCGTAAAACTTTGGAGAGAGATACGCAACCAAGACTATATGCAGACAGTTCAGGAGGATCTGACTCGACTCCAATGTTGGGCAGATAATAATGGACTAACTTTTAACACTTCAAATTGGAAAGTAGTTCATCTGCGACATGTCTCAGACTACAGTTATAACTTAGGAAACTCCTCTTCAGTAGTATCCCAAGTAGTAAAAGATTTAGGAGTCCTGGTGCCCCATGATTTAAAGTCTTACACTAACTGTGAAAAAAATGCCTTCCGAGCAAACCTTGCACTGGTAACGTCGAAGCGCATTTTTGGCCAGTTTGACGGAAGAACTTTCCATATAATCTTCAATAGTTTCATCCGTCCCCATTTAGAGTACGGAAACATAGTACTTCCCCCCTCACTCCAAAAGGATAAGGACACTTTGGAGCGTATCCAACGGCGAGCCACGAAATCAGTTCGAGGACTCAAATTTAAACCTTACGAAGAACGCCTCCATTCACTAGACCTTTACCCATTAGAGTATAGGCATCTTAGAGGTGATCTATTAATGGCTTATAGTAATCTTAACACTTCTGGACATCCTCTTAAACACCTACTTAAGCTTAGTTCAAACACTAACCTAAGGGGTAACACCCAGAAACTGGAGACACAACATAGCAAAACGGAATGTAGACATAACTTCTACTCCTTAAGAGTTGTCAAATGCTGGAACTCGCTGCCAGCCGAGCTAGTCCAAGTGACTTCCCAGGAGTCCTTCAAGAGGCAACTTGACCTTGACGATGGCACAGGTATTCAGTGTTTGACAACGCTTTTACCAGCAACACCTAATATAATTTGTACTCACCAAGAGAAATCAAATGACAGAGTCTAGGAGATCGGAAGAGTGTATTTGGCGATTACCAATATATCGGAATTCTCTGATCTAATCTGGCTAGCGATTGCGGTAGATGTTGAGCATAGCGTTACCACACGTGATCTGGTGCGGATGCATAACCGAGCGCCTTCAGCTAGATGAGTCCACTAAAACATATGGTCAACATCCAATGTCGAAAACTTACAGAGCTATTTATTTTGGGGATTTATTTACCGCCACAACCTATTCTTAAGGACCAAGGACAGCATCATACTATGATTTACCAATTTATTTTCCTCTTTTATTGTTAACATACCTAGGTTCCTGCCTGGAGGACTTGGTGATCCCCTGCTACTAGACACGGAAGCCTGTTAAGCGAAAGCTTCTATTCCGTCCACAACCATTTGAACCATTTGAACTCGAAATACTACTAGCTTAAGGTACCTGACTAAAATTTTGCTCCAGGTCACGCCAAAATATGCAGAGGAACAAAGCTATTCCGACAATCACTAGGCTTAGATTTGATGGTGATGATCGTCCTCTACCCCATCCAAGTCGTCCACTTCATTTATTTGGGTTAGTTGTCTTATACCTCAATAATATTTAGCAAACTGACCAACTTCCATTGATCGATCCTCTAATAAAGAAACGGATTAGGCTAAGTTTTGAGCTAGCTTTGTCTCGGTGATATTTCATTCCCTTTAAATCCTTTAACCAGGAGACCAGTGAACTCTTGTGGGTCAGGTTTGTTTGAAAAGTCAGTCTTTCCATCTTAGAAAGGACTCGCGATTCACCCCCCTGTTTCTTTTGGAGTGGGCGATTTGTTCTCCGATACCAGTCTCTTCTCTCTAAGCTTTGGCAGTTTGCAAGCTTCTTTTATTCTTTCCACAGCCATATAAAATCAAATAGTAAATTCTTTCCTAGGTCTATTCTGTCGACTAACATTGAATTTTTTCGTCTTCGCGTATCTCCTTATATTGGAGGATCATTTACTACTTTATAGATTTGAATCTCAGTCGAGATGATATTAGCTAAATCAACTCTACAAAAATTGTAGATTGATCGCGCAGATTGATTAGGCGGAAATATAACACTATGGTACAAAAGCCTATTTTCTTTGAACAAGTTAAGTCATGCATCCTAAGCTTTCATAATACTAATGACAAGAGTGTCACGGACGAAACGCATTTTTTACAAAGCTTATGTGAGGCTATAGAATCTGTCCTACGCATGGGACTAAAGTGTAGTCATCGCCTAGTAAAGCGAAAGGATTATTGGAACTGGATGAAAAGCATTCCACGCATTTGCGAAAAATGGGAAATATTTGTCCACCCAAGTTACTTGCAGGCAATCAATCACGTAAGTGGTATTCAGTTAGCAATTGCTAACTGATGGATTAATTCATTGATTGCTAATGTATGTTATAACATACCGTTATAACGGTTACAATCGTTAATATGGGCACATATATGTTCGTATACAGTGGTGTTTACACATATGCGTAATACTCACTTCAAAAAATTCGGATGTAATATATAGATAAGCAGTAATAGCAGCCAGGTTGTTGACGATCCTAAGTGGTTTCATAAGCGATTGGATAACTGTATTACATGCGTTAGTTTTTGCACAGAATGCTCTTAACATATATTTGATATGGCACTTTCTTTCTATATCTCCATACAAGTAGACAACCTTGCTTTCGATTTCATGTATCACATCTAAGACTGACAGGAATCAGACAATAATTATTCAATTGCTCATCTGAATATGCTGTTTAAACAGCACTAAACATGTATATTTTTACGTTTTTAAGGAAAACTATATCGAGGAGAAAACTACCAAAATCCTTCAGAGTGGTTTGGTAAAGAGCATACATTCACCAGAGTCGCCTCATTTTTCCCCAGTTTCAAGGGTCTTATGCACGAAAGAAGCTTATTTTTATACTTATTCTAAACATCAGGGGAAAACATTCTTCAGTCTTGTTTTGTCATCCTAGTCTGTTAGGTGGCTCTGTGTATAGTTCATTTCACTCTACAACTGAATAATGGGAAATAAACCCAATTCACCAACTGAATTTATGGGGTTCATATTTGTTTTGGAACAGGTAAGTCTAAGATATTTGTGACATGCTTTGAGGAACTATTCTCTCTACTCTACGTCATACTTCGGAAACTTTAGCCTCATCACCTTTGTTTATCAATCATATTATATAGTCTAAACATATCATCCTAGCAGTCACGATATTTTATAGTCTGCTTTTATGACTGAAGTATTTTATAAAAATGTCCATATGCATATTAGTGCATTTTATGCTAGATCATTCCGTCATACTATGTAATTATGATCTGGTAACCGAAATAGCTAACAAATTCAGATTACCGGTACCTAATTAACTGAGTCTTTGGCTTATTCACATGTAGAAAGTACAAATAAACTTATTTCCCGTTGATATAGATCAATTTCCTATTCTGTTTATCCTTGTCCACTGATTTCACTAGTTAAGTTCATTTTGTCCTTTAATTTTACTTTATTGTAACAACTTAATTTATATTTGATGCAAATATTCTGTCGATTTTTTTCTTGGTTGAATATTTTGAATATTGTGATCGGTCTGCCGACATCTAATACACTTGATATGCTGATACAAATCATAGATATTCGGATAAGATTGTCTTCTTAGCCTTGCTATTTTCGTTTTGTGTGAGGTCATAGCTACGTGCCTGTTTATATCCAACTTATTTGATTAAATGTTAGCTATTTACAGCGGTTGGAACTAGCATGCTCATAATGGTGTTCAAGATTGACGATCAAATCTTAGTCTTATATTGTTAAACAAACTTATGGTTAGTGATTAAGTATTGGAAGTCCTGCTACCATGTTACTTTAAAATTTAAGCTTTGTACAAGAAGGGTATAGTGATCCAAGGTAAGTTTGACTTACTGCTAGGCATAAACGTTTCAAACAGTTAAGCAAGCCACCACAGTTTACTTTTATTGTGTTAATTAGTTTTATCAGTCAGATAAATCATCATACCAGAAGTGGGGAACGACAGAATTTTAGGAACAGGTAGATTTAATGTGCTTAAAAACTGGACGTGTTCATAGGTGGTATAAACAGGAGCTGTACTGTAAAACCCCATAATTTGTCGTTTGTTTCCTACTGATGAATAAATTAGTACGGTCTTATTATTTTTGAATTACGCAACTTTTTGTCATATTTCATTGGACACTTTTGTTCAGCATACGCTGATTTTTGTCAAATTGATTTTATAGGTTCACAAATGCCGTAGTGTCACCACTGCTCAAGGACGTGGGCGTCTCCTTATTCGTATGTTATTGAGTTCCGGGACTTTGGATTTCCCATTTAAGTTACTGCTAAATAACATGCATTTATCAGCTGCATTCTATGAGGAGTCCGAGTCAGTTATGGGGAACGATATTCTTATTCAAATATTTTGTTCTCTTGTCAGTGAGGTTTGTCGGATTCCTTTTAATTTGAATGTGGATAATACGGAATTCCTTGATGAAACATGGTGTCTTCCAACATTTAAGACGTTTACATTCGTTCCATGCAAGTATGATACATTACACTATAAACCATACTACAAATGTCTCGTATTTAATTTTAGATTTTTATGTAATTCACTATATTTCTCAGCTTTATGGTCCAAGCTTTAGTATCAAACGAATATTTACACACTTGATGACTATATAAATCTATCAAAAACTGCATTAGTTGTATTTATTTATTTATTTATTTTAACACTTAGATATTGGTACAAGGAGGCACCAAATACATATGCGTCAAACAAATCTCATTTGGTTTGTGTGTGGGCTGTGATACTGCCCGGGTGCCTAGACCGAAGCAGGTGGTTTTCTTAGAGGGCCACATCCCGAGCCTTCGACCTGGAGGTCTGATCCACAAGGCAGTGGAGCATCGTGAGGAGATGCAGTCCCATGTTGGCCGGTGACCAACAATTGGTCCATACGCCATTTGTTCCTTCAGGATACTGGAGCCCATGTGCACCATTGGTTTGGAATCCGGTTAAAGCGCCGGACATTCGCTTTTCGTCCTCTCATTTTCGTAAACAACAGCCCCGCCACGAGAAGGCAGTGAGTAGGACTTCCCTGGCATAGGCTATATACGCGTGGCCATGTGAGAGCATTTCTAGAGAGAGAGCGGACACTCTCCACTCTCGGCCGTACCAGGGCACTTGGGGGCCCCATTAGTTGTACCATATATATTGTAGCTTATGCTTTACTGAAATGAATATAGATCACCATGTATGTTATTCATTGAAAACCTTCATTCTTTGATAATGGAGGGAAAATATTTTACATTTCGGTATACTTCTTTTTTTAGTATCAAACTTAAGAATGGCCAACCCCACCACTTCCTCTTTAAGTAAAATAAAGACTTAGGTAAACTTGTAACAGATGTGGAATCCAAAATTACAACTTGGTTACAATCATTTTACGCAGATCGTTTTATCCAATATGACATCAAGACTATTAAAAAAAAGCTAGCTTGATAAGATGTCAGTATTTTAACACAGTAACTGATAATTAAAGATGAGTTACATTGACTCAAACATTTGTATTTTTATATCTGAAGTACATCACTCGTATCTACTCGACAAGTAAAGTTAGTGCAATAACTTTAGTAGCAGGGAAATTAAACTGAGTAATATAATGCAAAATAGTCTTGCTATTACTTAAGGTGTAGTTCATTAAAATGTCGTTCAGATAAATCTCATTATATTTTTTATATTAATGATAATACCTTTCCAACAGCTTCAAGATCCTAACCTTGCTTGATAGGTTCTCAAAGTTATTTAGTAATTCATTAAGACATTGAATTTTAGTACCAAGTAAATTCATATATAGCCAAATTATAAACTGTGATGATATTTCCGAATGCTTTTTTAATTATTATCGTGATATGTATTGTCTACGGTTTCGAATTTCATTGGATTATATGGTGTAATAATTATCTGAAATACTCATATCAACATGCTAAAAAAACTTTTTGGCTGTAAAGCAGCATATTATTTGTAGGTGGGATTCACCATAGATTAATTGGGGTTGCAGTACCATTAAAAACCAGAGAGCACCGGGTAGCTTTCTCATCCTAGCATAGGATTTAGTAAAGCGCGCTCAGGACTCCACGAAAGATCAAACTTAGGACCTTCAGATCTCGCGGCAAGTGTTTAGCCATTATAATCATTGCGTTGATCTCTATTGATTTGCACTTCCAACTTCGAACAGTTCACATCCAACTCATCATCCAGTGGATCTGGTAACAACTTTGCAACTCCCTACATGGATGATTTCCATGTCACAAATTCCTACTTAAACTCCGGGAATTTGTCTCGAAATAGGTCATAATATTACCTTATATCTCTTTTTTGGCTTATTTTCACGTGGTTTATGATCTCTCACTTTGAGTTTAAACTCTATATCATTTAATAACTCGTATTATTCGGATATTCTATCCTCTAGAAATAGTCCTTGTTACTAGTTTTATAGTTTCTACAATCCTAAAAGAATCACTGAGAAAATTAATGGACAAGGATAACTGTATTTTTAAAAATTATTCTTGGCTATCATCTGATGAACTAAAAGCTGGATACTTCGTTTGTGAACTTTTTTGGTCTGTATTCTTTAATATTTTTATTTTTAATATTTCTACATACATGCTTTATGATGACTACAACTGGAGAGAATACTTTCGCTATAGTTTGTATTTTCGCCAACAGTGTTTACAATTGTTTGGTTACATACAGCTTTGTCTTACATCGAATCACTTATTTATTCCTCTTTGGTCCCATTTTGTGTATTATTTTATTTCTCAACTCACATAGTGACCCGTATGTGATGGAAACCCTGTCATGTTTAGACGACTCCAAGCCACTGGCTAATAAAAGTCTCAAGTAATTTAATGAGATACTATTGTTGGTACAGCTTTTACAAAACTGCGTATGCCACTAAAACTGGTCTTCTTCAACGTTCACATACTGATGCGGATCTCATGACAGATAGGTTTGGCAGTCTTTGGAAAGTCATTAAATCGATGTTTGCTATATATCTGAGACCCGTATTCAAGACTCCAGCAAACTACTACAGCTTCGTTCTTCATTTATTGAATCGAAAAGCTTGTCTCAAGTACACTTATCCGGGGACCGTATGGGATCTTCGTCCGGCTGGGCTGTGGTCAATGTCACTCTAAACGCCATGATATCTGTCAGCTACAACGTAGAACCAGGCACGTATATGCACCGGTCCAAGTTGCCATATCTTAATAGTACAACAAGATGAACACCGAGTTCATAGAAGTAGTTACTTCAATAGTAGTAATGTGTAAAAGAAATATTGTGTATAAGGATATAATACAGGAAGCAAGAATTAGTTGGTAGAAAGAAAGGCACAAAGCAATTTTAATCCCACGGTTTAAGGAGAGACAAGGGGTGTATACACCTACACCATTGTGATCGATTCTTAGCCATGTCACTCAGAGCCTCTAATAATTGGTTACGATAGTTACACGGTCCCCAACCAAGTAGTCTGCATCTACCAACATGGCTCACACCAGAAGTTCGTGACTTCAGTGACTGATGCCATGTTTTGGTATGGCCACCTGTAACTTCCTTCCAACCATCCCAACACTAGTCAGCATTGCGCGTCATGGTAATCGGTGTTCAGGCGTACGTAACACATGGTCCAACCATCTCAGTCGATGAAAATTTACAACCTCACCAACTGATTTACTATCATTCCGTAATGCCCTGCGTGTAACCTCACTATTACTTGCCCGGTGGTCCCAACAGATGCGAGCAATATTTCTAAGACACCTGTAATCAAATACCAGTAGCCTACGAGTATCCTCTACTCTTAATGGCCACGTTTCGCAGCCGTAAAGTAGAACGAACTTCTGGGCAGTATACTCGTCCCTTAATTCATATACGAATATCTTGCCTTCGCCATAGGTAACATAATTTGGCAAAAGCCAAACGAGCTTTTCGACTCCGTGCTGAGATTTAGTCAGACACCAACCCATTAGGGCTGATCAGACTTCAAGATAAGTGAAGTTGTCAACGTGTTCCTCTGTTTCACTCCCTATCCTTAGTTCAGGTGTTGACGCAGACAAGTCCTGAACCAACTACTTGCATTTAGAGGAGGAGAAGCGCATCCCAAACATTCTGGCATTGTTGCTCAGAGCTACCAAAAGACTGCATTTTATCAGCGTCTTTACTAAACAGGACTATATCATCTGTGTATTCTAAGTCGGTAAGTGGACCTCCTGGTAGGAGATCGATGCCCGAAAATTCAGTCGAATAGAACGTTGTTTCCATTAGTATGTCTATGATGAAGTTGAACAAAAATGGAGATAGTGGACAGCCTTGACGGACACCACTTGAGGTCACAAAAGCAGATGACAGTTCGCCATATGCTCTGACTCAATTAGTAGTGTTCAAGTAAAAAGCCTTGAGAAGATTTGTATGCTTCTGAGGTACGCCTTCCAACAACAGACACTGCCACAGAACTTCTCGGTCTACAGAGTCAAATGTTGCTTTTAAGTCGAGAAAGACCACCATTGTCAGATGCTGATAAGTATGTCTGTGTTCTAGAACCTGACGAATGGTGAATATGTGGTTGATGCAGCCACAACCAGGTCTGAAGCCAGCCTGATTTTCTCGTGTTTCATTTACACTTGACTTCTTAATCCCAGTTTCTTTTAGTAGCCTGTAAAGCTTTCTAGTGTTACCTACAGCCGCTCCTTTTTCAATCTCTTCCTTTCGTTGCCCACCACTGATCACAATCGTTCCTTGGACTTTTGGTTAGCCTAGATCTGATTTGTTTTTGCTCTTTATCGTGTTCAGAGACTGATGGGATGAGTTTACAAGAATTTATCAGTGCAGTAGAGTTAGCAGTAATCCACTGATTTTTCGTGACCCTTTGGTTCAAATCACTAGTAGATGTCGTTGCTGTTTCCACAGCTGTTCGTATATCTTTCCATGCAACATCTGGGTCAGCCTCGTTTTCAGAACTGCCTAAGTGTGACCGCAGTTGTTCCTGGAATCTACTTGTGGCTTCCTCGTCACTGAGTTCGGCTCTAATAGGTCTTAATGTGATTCTCCTACGTCCTGTGAGGCGTATGCGAACGCATGCTCGTATTAGAGCATGGCCGGAGACCAAGCAGGTATCCCAGAATGAGCGACAATCTTCTATCGACCCTCTCCAACGATGACTGATGGCAATATGGTCTATTTGAGTCCATCGTTGGTTTAGCGCAGGGGGTTGCCATGTTAGGCGATGTCTCTCCTTATGTTTAAATTTAGCGTTTGCTAAAAATAAACAATTGTCTGAGCACAGTTGCAGCAGACGATTATCATTATTTGTTCGCTGTGCCGGAATACTAAAATACCCACCTAAATGCCTTTCTGTTTAGTTTAAACTACCTATCTGGGCATTAAAGTCACCTGCTACGAATACTGTGTCTAAACGTTTAGCTTTCTGAAGAAGTTCAGAAACAACAAAAAGGCAACGACGTGCGTTCCTATCCTTCCGAGTTCTTACGGAGCCGTTTAGCCGAACAACACATAGGGGACTGTTAACGGGGATCCATTCTAATAGTGCTTGTTCAGCCCTCGTACTTAGCGCTATGCCTACACCTGCCAGCCCACGAGAATTAGCCATCAGGTCGCCAGAAACACGGAGGGTGTATCTTGTTGGCTCTTCGTTTTGGCGAGGTGAGGTCAAGTGAATGAGCACATTGAGGTCCTGTATGCGTGCTTCGGAGAGACAGCTTACATCAATGGTACAAGATTCTAGTGTTTCAGCCAAGGAGGACTGCTGGTCGATTCGACATGGGGTACGTACGTTGAAGGCTACAATGTGTAGTTTGGAGCGAGGTTTCAGTAGACCTGGGACAGCTTTTTACCCATTAGAATCGTTGGCCATGGTGACACTTGAGGAGGAAGTTAAAGGAGGAGGTTTAGAGTTGAAAGTCGAGGTAGGAGGAATAATAGGAATTAAAGAGGGATATTGATTATGAATACAGTGATCTTGAGTGCTATTAGAGGTATGAGGGCGGTTATCACTTCCCGGTTGCTCACACCGTGGAAAGGTTCTTCTAGAGGTACCTGAAAAGGAAGTTAGGTTAGGCGTGGTCTTAGTGACCCCAGAGCATAACCACAGTGCCCAAGAGACAACTGCTTGAGGTCGGTCGTACCCGACCTTTTTGTGAGTAATTTCCATGTTAGCTCCGTACTTGTTGAGACCTTACTGTTGGAGACGGATATCCGTGGGATAAGGTGAGGTGCGCATTTCTAGGGTCGACCTTTTCTAGCCCCACCCCTCCTTGTGGGGAGGCAGCATCGCTGTTATGCTGGTTGTCTGACGGAAACACCTTACTTCCGTCACACCTCTGTACAGTCGGCAGTACGACTTTGCCCTTGGACATTGGATTTACTGCTTTTAGTCTTACCGCTCTTCAACCGACCTGTCTGGCATGGTAGGACCTTGAGGGATGACTGTTTCAGCCAGCACAGCTTGACTGGTTCATCATGATAGGCAAGCCCGATCACCACGTCAAGGTAGCAGCAACGGCCCGGATGCCATGGTATAGGCAATACTGACCGATTAGTTCCTCAGTAAAAGTCAATTATATGGATCAAATGTTTGATGATAAACCCTCAATTCTTTTTAAGAATGATGGTGACCTGGTCAGGAAACTGACTGGCTTGTTTGGTTGGGTTTAGAAAACAGCATGTTTCGACATCTTCTATGACTTAGTGTCGTGGTATGGAAAATGATGTGCAAGACTGGTATCTGTTGGCCATTTACAACTCCCAGTTGGGGTTCTAGAAACAGTGCAACACAATAGCTTGGGATGTTACCAGAAATAGCTGAGAATAGTAGCCAGTAGCGGTCCTGGTGTGATCTACTACTTTCTTCATGAAAATGTGAGAAAATTTCTCGAATGAATTGAATTTCTGGTTGTATTTTTCTGACTAAACTGTTTATTCTATTATATACTACTTTGTACACTTAGTTCTGCTAATTCTTTTTTCGATAGTACTTCCTCTTCTTTATCTCTCCATAATTTCATATTCTTACTTTTTGATATACATTTATTTTAGTGTCTTCCAATTGAAACATTAAAAATATGAACTGGGTAAAGAAGTAATTCTTTTCAATTGATAAAGTCAAAATAAAAACTAAAGTGAAATTATTACTAAGTTACAATCATGCATCTCTAAGAAATATTTTCGAATTACTCGACTTTTCCAGTTTTGTTACATTTTAATTTCTAATTTTAATATTACCTTACTCTGTTGAATGATCTGATTATCTAATTTTCATTCCACTCATTCTATTAATTACTTATTTTCGATCTCATGAGTAACATGAAACGTTTATATTTGTATTCAACTTTAATTTTTATTCGTCGTCTTATATAACTAGTGTTAGTAATTAACCAATTATGAAGTTTCACCTTAGTTTTGATTTTATGGAAGTTTTTTTAACTGATTACTAACTCTATCGTTAAATTGATTCACCACCATTTATTTGATATTGATTTTATACTTAATTGTAAAGCATATATATTAGTGTAGGACTTCAACAAGGACCTAATTGAAAAGAATTACGTCGTTACTCAACTTATATTTCTGGTGTCTTTTAATTGCTAAAATATAAAGCCCGTGTATTTAAATATAACTCAATAGCTGACTAGTAGCCGATTAATTGAAGTGGTTTTACTGGCTGGTTACCAAAACTTAATGAGTGAAGTGAGTGTAAATTTATGAGTTAGTGGGTGAGGACCGGTCACCTACAAGACGAAGCAAAAACTCTACACATTTTAATTACATTACGGTGTCTGACTCATAAGCGTTCACTATTGTTGAATTTAACTCCTTTTCAGATGTCTTGTTTCCTTCTGCTGTTATTGTTTACTTAAGTTACCCAATTATATTCACAGTTTTATGAATTGTAAGATTTCTATATTTTCTCCCTGATTCTTTGCATGATAGATTTATTAATAATTAAATAACCAATAGTGTTTCATCCCTGATAGAATGCTTGGTGCTCGTGTCGAAACGGTAGATGGCCATTATTTAGTTACAGAAGTAGATCCTACTGGAGTTGTTGCAGAAGATCATCAGATAACTGTTGGTGATATTCTATCTACCATGTATGGTTGTATATTACACAATTCTGGACTCTTTTTAAATAATCTTCGATCTCTTTATGATGGCCAACCCATTCCAGTTGGTGTTACGAAAGCTCTAATGCCTGACGGGCGTATATATCCCCGTTTAAGATCTCTTTTAGAACAATATGGTTATGTCAATTTGATTACAGACCTCGAAAGATCAGGACCAGGTATTTTACTTGTTAATACTGCATTTTAGGTCAACTAATATCTCTTTGACCTTTTGTTGTTTAGTGACTAGTTATAGTTGTCGTGAAGATTAATTTTTATGTTGTTACCCCTACATGGTTATGGCTGTGTGAATGTTCTTTAAGCCATATATTATTCTTCATATCTTACTAAATAGAACCAGAAAACTTCAGGGAAATCAATTATGAAAGCTAAGAGATTGAAGTCACTAGAAGTAGTTTTAATTATGTTATATATATGTCACTTTTATGTTCATACTGTCTTGTTTTTTGATTATATAATAAGGTTATTGTGATTCGGACACAGTTTTCCGATTTGCTGGATCAGGGTAAATTTTAAGAGTTAGTGCAAGGAAAATACTAATATCCATAATTTGTGTATCAATAGGTAATAATAACGTAGTTAGAATAATTATGATAAATAGCTTACGTAATGTATTCATTCCTTGGACTTATATCAAGTCCAAAGTTCAGCAAATTTTATTCTCTATTGTTACTTCTGTTTAAGGCTTTTCAAGTTGACAAACAGTTATGAGGGTATCACAGCCATCTAATTATCAGCTAATTAGAAACATTATCGTTTGTGTAAAACACCAATAATATTATCGGTGTAGGGTTGTGGAAGTTGCTAAGTTTTAATTGAGTTCATGAGCTGACCAATGTTAGACCACCATTGAAAACCTAGAAACACTGAACGGCCGTTTTGCTTTGGTATGGAACTCTTTAGCAGTGGGACATGGGCCCAAGACCTTTGACCCGACCGTTGTCGCTACCTTGACGTGGTGATCGGGCTTGCCTATCATGATGAACCAGTCAAGCTGTGCTGGCTGAAACAGTCATCCCTCAAGGTCCTACCATGCCAGACAGGTCGGTTGAAGAGCGGTAAGACTAAAAGCAGTAAATCCAATGTCCAAGGGCAAAGTCGTACTGCCGACTGTACAGAGGTGTGACGGAAGTAAGGTGTTTCCGTCAGACAACCAGCATAACAGCGATGCTGCCTCCCCACAAGGAGGGGTGGGGCTAGAAAAGGTCGACCCTAGAAATGCGCACCTCACCTTATCCCACGGATATCCGTCTCCAACAGTAAGGTCTCAACAAGTACGGAGCTAACATGGAAATTACTCACAAAAAGGTCGGGTACGACCGACCTCAAGCAGTTGTCTCTTGGGCACTGTGGTTATGCTCTGGGGTCACTAAGACCACGCCTAACCTAATTTCCTTTTCAGGTACCTCTAGAAGAACCTTTCCACGGTGTGGGCAACCGGGAAGTGATAACCGCCCTCATACCTCTAATAGCACTCAAGATCACTGTATTCATAATCAGTCTCCCAGGACCCTTGGTGTCGCGCGCGAACGCTTAACCTCTATGCCACAGCCGGTATTTAACCGTGTTAATATCTAATTTCCACCAATCCACGATATTGCGCGACCAATAAGATTGTTTAGCGTTGGCCAAATAAGTAGTATTGGTGAGAACAAAGAACCATTTATGAAGCACAGTATATTCTTGGCAGAACTTAGTTCCGAGAAATGCATTTGTGCCTCCGACTGAACAATCCACAAACAAATTGTTTATGATCAGTAGCAAGAGACAATTTAATGAGGGAAACTGTCATAGTAATTATTTACTAATTAGCTTGAAAATTAGTGATCAAATTTGATAGTTTTTTTAATTTGATGAGGAACAAAAAGATCTTGCACTAATATATGTATTTTTGTCGTTTTTTTTGTTATCATGGTTGATAAAAAAATCAATGACTTGTTACTACTATTTGCTTATCAATTTTTTAAATACATTATGTATCTACCCAGTTTATCACACTCGTTTTGTCCTATTGAATTTAATTGCTAAATATGTCGATTTTAACATGTCTCATATTTACGAATACAAAATCATTACTTATAAAGCATGGACGGTCATGCATACTGAATTTTGTTGTATCGACTTGGTATGCTAGTTTTATAGTTGGTTTTCTGAATTGAAGCATGTATCAAAGGACGAGAAACATTGGTTCAAGATCAAACTAGTAAATCTGGGGAACCACTATTTTATCCCACCAGAAGTTCTCATAAGTGCATTGCTGAGAAAATATAGAAAATCCCTCCCCCACATCTTGAAAAAATCAAATACCACAATTGTTGTTCCCCTGTGCTTTAGAACGTTTCAAGAAATAACTAATCGTATAGAAGTCGTTGTTTGTTTTTGTAGCATGTCAGTTTTAATAACTCAATCAAGTAGACATTAATCTTTGTGTACTTTGCTTTTTGGTTTTTCCCACTAGTTCATATTATTGACAATTCGAAGTTCCTCAATCAGGAACCTTGGTATCATTTTCGATATATTGGACAATGTGAAGTGGGTTCAAATGGTGGAGTTAATTTGATAAATCAATCTATTGTTTCTGTTCTAAGTAATTTAAAAAATTCAGATGAGCAATGTCCTGTGCAAATTGAATTGGGTAAATCATTGATTATTTCTTTTTTTGTTTTGTTATATATATACTAGCCAGATTGGTGGTTCATCTAAGCTTTTTACTGTTAACCTTAGAGTAATGATTTACTTAGTTTCCTTAAATTCTTTATTAGCTTCTCCTTATGTAATTTAGTCACATAGTTCTATTGTTAAGGTAGATACCTTTCTTGTTATGGTTTCTGGAAGTATATTACCTTCGGTTTTTTCAGTTTTTACTAAACACTTGTTCACATAAACAGTATGATCGAACTGATAAACATGTTTTTTTTTAATAATTAATATGTACCCTGGTTTTATTTATTTGATCTTTTGTTATATATGCAGCTCAGTTGATATAAGATTCTTTCGCTCTAAAGATTAAGAAATTCCGGATTCTGTATAGGTTAGGGGAATACAGATTAGATTAAAGCACGTTCCGTGCAGGATTATGTTAGGACATGCTGATTAGCTATTTCTTAACCAATCAGCGCCGGTGGACATTTGGAGAAGACTCTAGAATCTACTTATGTAAAAACCGTAAATACACTAACGCTTTTTTATTGTGCTTCCTACTTCCATCTATCCTTGTTATTTGGAATATAATTTCGTTCCTGTTCAAACGTGTTCTGATGTGGGGACTTGCCGAGTGAATTAGTGTCCAAGAATACTAAGCAATAGGAATAGCTGGGTCGTAATAAGAAAAAAATTATAACAGCATATTGATAACGTTAAGATCTCTCGATTATCTAATTAAGCTTACGTCTGTGATTTTATAAGTTGTGGATTCTGCATTTTTCTACTGAACACTCTCACATTGTCTTCTATTTCTGCTATTTTTAACGTTGCTCGACTTTAAATGGTAAGATACAGTAACTTAGTTGGAAAATGTTTTTTTTTTTTCATTTAAGGTGAATTGGGAGTGATTGTATGGCAGTTACAGCGGAAAGATAATAAAGTTTGTCGTAGTGAAGAACCTCTTCTACGTCATTCCTATCCACAAATATCTTCATGCGGTCGAAGAACCGATGGGACCAATTATTTTGCATATATAGCCGGTGAGGAATCATGCACTACAGCTAGTCATTTTACATGTTATGTATTTGAATCAACGGATAAAGAAGAAGCTAGAAGAATTATATCCGGTTTATCAATGGGCTTTGATAGAACACATTGGACTTTATAATTATTAAAGACAACATAATGTAAGAGCATTTTTAAATAATGGATCTATTTTATAGCGAAAACTCATTCAATACTTGTGATCACTTTTCTTATAAACATTCAAAACAATGTGGCATAATTTTCATATTCTGGTTTAATTGATTTCATTTTAGGTGATCTGTTTCATTCCTGTTAATTATGTGATAAATTTTTGTGTTTTTGTTTAGTTTGTTTGTTTTTCTATCTCGAAAATTTACCTCATTTAACTCTGTTTTACATTCAAGTAAGTATTAATGGATATATTAGAAGATTATTAAGTGATATGTTTAACTTTTTTTCCCATTCTCCTACTTATTTCCCATGTATTTTCGAAATAAACTACAAATGCTCATTCGATTTATATTTATAAGTTTTTATTTGTCTCTTTGTTCATAGTGAATTATTTTTTGCTATGTATGTTTGTCTTTACGTGTGGTTTTGTTTGTTAAATAAATTACCATCGACTATATTGATTTTATGCCGTGGAACATGTATTGTTCATTGTATTGTCAAGTTATCTGTGCATTTTGTAATGTACACTTTTTTGAGTTATATATATGTGTACCCATGGTGGTAGTATTGTTGTGTTTTCATGTCTGTTTGTCGTCCTTGAAATCACCTTTGACCTGAATATTGAACTTACTTTTTTATGGGGAAGTTCAATAGTTACCCAGTACGTAAATTCTTATCTAGATTTTATTTGTTACAAAATTAAAGTTTTTGTTTTAATATAGTTGGAAGCGCTTAAGTAGATATCGATTTTCAGTATGGTGACCGTGGAGGTTGTTGAATTTTATTGAGCACATAAACTGCTTCAAGTTAGACAACTATTCTAAAAGTGAACGCACTGGTAAACTGTTTCGTTCTAGCATGGGACTCTCCAGCAGTGCGCATCTACGACTTCACTATCGGGGATTAGACTCATGATCTTAGGTCTCACACTTGAACGCTCAACATCTACATTACTGAGTCTTCACCTGACGATGTACAAGTTTAGCTTCAGTCAATCCTAAATACTGTCCGATCGTCTCCCATTATCTTCAGTGGATATGTTCCTCACAACACCTGACACGATTCCCTCTCAAAGATGGTTACTATTAATCATCATATGATCACTAGTGACTAGCTTCGATAGGAAATTTCCAGAGTGCCAGTGAGAAGCTGTGAACATTGGAGCTAAATCGTCTCAGGTGTTGTGAAGAATATATCCACTGAAGATAATGGGAGATGGTCGGACAGTATTGAGGATTGACTGAAGCTAAACTTGTATACTGTGAGGCAAAGACTCAGTGATCTAGTTGTCGAGCGTCCTATCACGAGACCAAAGACCGTGGGTTCGATCCCTAGTGGTGTCGTGGATGGATATTGCTGAGATATTGATTTATCGATTGAATCAGTGTTATTGTCTAATAATTGTATTCTATTTCATTAGTCGTTCGAATAATAACTATTTTAGACCTACTTGCTATTGTTTGTTCACGTATAATATCACATATGAATGCACACTTATTGAGAGAACAATTAGATATTTTTTGACATAGGCTTAATTATTTCGAATAAGTCAACTTGACATACGGGTAGAATGACTTAATCATCTACCTACAGAATTGCATCTGCATTATAATTCATCATTTTCATTGTAATCAGTATACTTTAAATAATATGTAACATCTTTGACTTCATAATGTTATTCTTTTTTAGGTTATTATATTTTCTCTACCTTTGGGTTTGTCAATGTTGTAATATACCAATTCCGTTGTATGATAGAAAGTTCAGTTAAAATTCGTGTTCATTCGTATTACTTTAATTTATTATATATCTTCAGTAATTGCAAATAAAGGTCTCTTGGGCCAAATCAGAGTAAATTTATTTTTTATAGGTCGAATTTATGAATAAAAAACTGATTTTTACACATGAGACAGTTAATATATGGTAGAGTTGAGTGCACTTTACTACTTGAAATTCACTAGTGTCGAAACATGGCAAAGAACGTTCTCGATTAAATCATGAATATTCAAGAACCTACTTGGTACTTCTCAGGAATTCTGAAGCTGTTAATCAAATCTACTCGTCTACATTTCCCCATAGAGTATTCTAAGAATTACTAGCTTCCTAGACCAGGATTGTTGTGCCTGGTTCTATGCAAGTTTTATGCTTCCAGGAATTCATACTTGATTTGTTATATTTCTAAAATAAGGATGATTTCCGAAGGACTAAATGTCTGTTCCTATTTTGTTTTGATGAGTCCTTGTGTGATTTCCACATTCATAATTAGTATGGTTGAATATATCGTTTATATTTGTTCATTGTATTGTAGGAAGTTGGACTATCATTCATGTTATTATTTTGGCTTACCTGTGGGACTTGCATCTTCCATTTTCACCAGTTTCTAATTTGGAAAATTTACAGTTAAAGTAATTCATATAGAGAGATGATTTAAAATGGATTTGCTTCACTAATGACAAGGAGTTACGGATTTTGTAATTAGAAGTTTCTGCATATTTAATTATGTGACTGGATGTAAAGGATAGTTTATTGCGCATTTCGGAGAAAAAGATTAAATTAAGTTTGAGTCTCCACTTCCATAAAGGGTCGAGCTCAAGTTTATTACATCTAGAATTATAATTCAAGGTACAATCATTCCCAAGAATCTGAAGTGTAAATTGTTGCTGTACTGATTCCAACCTTAATTTATCATTTATGCACAAACTACTAAGAATAAACGTGCAGTATTCTAGGAGTAGTCGAATACATACTTTGTACACCAAAATACATGACTCGTTGTTATGAAGGTTTCGAGTTATGCAACCTATAAGACATTAAAACTTGGAGGTCTGTTTCAATACCTGTACTGTAAATGACAAATCGTAGGAGTACTCAAGTTTCCCCTGTTTTCTCCATGTCTAGTTAATACAATAAACTTTTCGAGTATATGAAACTTACAAAAAGTTTTATTTATAAACTTTATGTACACAAAATTTTAGAATTAGCAAAACATAAACAACACTGTCTTCATAGAATATCATTTTTAAACAACAAGATTTATTGACTTCAATATAAAAAAGAGATTTTATTCGTTTTACTCAATCGTCTGAATGTCTCACAGCATTTATACAACAACAACAAGAACTGCTACTACTACCTGTTGAAAAACAACAGTACAATTTTTCAATATTAATATAAAAACAACATACTTGTCTAAACTTATTTTATACTATAACCGTTCGATAATTTTAGATTTGTTTATTTCTTTTATTCAGTTGATAATGTATTACTGATTGTTAGAGAATAAATGTGCTCATAATGATTTAATCATTAGTTAAGACATTAATTGAATAACAATAATGTACATATCTGTCGATATTAGTCTGCCGTGGGTAATTTTGAGTTCTTTTCTTGGGCATATTAAGTAACATGATATCACTGATATACAGTTAAATGCTTATACTACTTAATTGTAAATAAATGCTTTTATAGCGTTGTATGAGAATCAACTTAGAATGTAGTCAAATATTTAAACTGTAGTTATTAATTGATATTAGTTACATGTTAATTGTATACCAGTTGTATACATTTGTCGGTGTTCTTTCTGAGTAAATAAATTGAATAACATTCCAAATCATTAGTTACTTTTTGGGAATTAACATTGGTTATCGTAACATGATTTTAAAGCTTTCTAAAATAAACTTTGAGTGTTTATGTTAACAAATATAGTCTTCCTATATCCAGTTAATATTAACAGTATCAATGCTTGAGTGGATATCTACCTTCACTTATAGGTTAAAGTTCATCGTGTATTCAAACGAGTATACGATACAATGTGAATGGATGTTTCCTAATTCGATGAACCAATAACTAATGAGATTTAGAAATGATATACAAGAAGAAAAAAAATGTTTACAAAACTTAAAATAGTTTGAGTTTTAAAAAAGTTATTGAGGCAAAACGAATACTAATCCTTTCAATAATAAATGATGCATAAATGAAAACTTGAAATTCGGCCACACGATATAATTATGTTTACAAGTTGAAGAAATGGTAGATTTCCAGGGAAACGTAAACAATATTTTCTTACATTTATTCTCATTTTTTGTGACGTCACAACAACAAATTAGTTAGTTACTTTAATCGAAAATGTTTGTATAGTCATGTAGTAGAAGTAATTTGTGTCAAAATGCCCTTTATAATGACTCTAACCACATTGTTATTTGTAGGTCGATTTTAAAATATAATTAACATGCTCGTCTGTTAGCTACGTAATAGTTTACGTTGGGCGTAAAAGTAAATTCAGGCCACTGGAAAATGCACAAAGAATGCATTTTACTTGATCAATACTGTTCACTTATAAGAGACAATATTAAGTATATTTAGTGACAGTAAACGTCGTGTTATACTGTGCTAACTATTAAATTCACACATAGAAAAAATGTTCCACACGAAAACGTTGTTACTGAAATATGATTTAAGTAGTACTGTGATTCTACACTATTGGAAGGCTACATTTTATGTAGTGTAAATTAATTTACTGTAAACAAAAGAAAATTCACCCAATAAAATCAAATGGATTCTTTTTAGTCTGTAAATCTTGTTGTTATAACTTTGTTCTAAATTATCAAGAGGAAAGGAATCCGCATTATCACTTAAAAATATACTTTCGAATATGGAAAGTCAAATGTTAGGCGATATGAGGTATCTATTACACTCCAGAATTTCGTTTTCCTGGCAATAAGTTTAAATAAACAAAATAAATGGAATTCACTACACGAAAGAAACCTTAATCTAGCAAGCTATTATATCTACAAATCATATAAAAGCCAACAATGCTCCCTTATATGAACGTTTGAAATTTGATTTAAACTTAAGATCGGGTGATTGAGAAATAATTTCCTAGATCTTTGAGTTATGAAATTGTTTCTTTCAGATTGGTTTAAATCATTCAAGTTCGTTGTTACAAAAAGATAAATGTCCAAAAGAGACTCAGGGTTATTCACTATTCACATTTATTTTCAATAATTTTTCTCAACGATGTGTAATAAAAGCACTTGAGTCAACATCTACTCATTAAAAATACCGGACATTTCGATTAGTTAACAATCTCTCACTCCCTTCCAGAAACTAAATGAATCACAATGTAAACCGTTGAATTTCTTTAAAATGTTTATTAAATGTGTGTAAAGGTATAAAAGGAAAAAAAGTGAAATCTTATTTATTAACGCGGAAAAAAATTGTGCAATCATTTATGAAAATATGTAATGTATGTAACTGTGCACGTATGTATTCGTGTGTGCCTCTTTGTGTGTATTTGTTTAAAAGAAAACATATTTTTTCGTCTAATAACTTTCTGATTTCGTAAAACCAAAAGAAAAAATACGAAGCTAACCAAACCACAGTGACCAAGATGCAAAAAAGAAACAGCGAAAAAACACCGAAACCTATGAAAAAAAATCAATAAGGTATTCATTTGTAATTGAAATTATAATTCATCGTAAATGGAACAACTAATTTCTCCTCCTCATACAAATGTAAAGCGAGGTGGCAATAGGGCGTTTGATAAAGGTGATCCAAAGGAATGAATAAAATGAAGAAGCGATTCATTGTCTAGTCTCTCCTGTTAATTACAAGTCAACTAAAAGATTAATCAGTTAAATGAAATTTTAGACAAAAGATATCTAAAATTATTAAAAAAAAGTTGATACTTGGGGAAAAAAATGCATATCACTCTATCATCAACTTTGTATGCTTACAGACTTTTGCTTTAGACATAACCAGCTAAGGAACAACAGACAATAACAATATCAATCAATAATCTGTTGTCAATATGATGGCAAACAATAGACATGATTAACTAATAAGTGGATTATAGGATTTGTTAATTACAAAGATATGTAATAAAACTTAAGGTATCAATAGTTTATAAGGAAAAGAAAATGTAAATCAATATCACATAGTAGATTATACAGAACCGAAACACAATTAAGTTAATTAAATTCAATAGATTGTCTAAGAATGCATTATTTTTATCACCGAAATTGTGGTAAAAGAAAAAGCTGAAAAATATTTTGTTCACTGAAACAATAGAATAGAAAAACAAATCTATTATAATGATTGGACAGGAATGCGATATTCATTTGCCAAATAAACGCAACGTTAACTGGATATAAATATTGAACAAATATATATATATATATATATATATATATATATATATATATGATAAAAGTTGGAAACAGACAAAGAAACCATTTGTCTTCTGAACAAATAATTAAAACTAAAGATCACTGATAATAATATACAGTATTAACAAGTAGTTATAGACAATTGAATTTTTAAAGTGAGAATAGATATCAATGATGGGATTTTCAAATGTTGATGTGTAGAAAATTTCTCATTTCATTGTTTGAATTGATTGAAATTATTTTTGTTTTCTACAAATCATTTATCAAGATTGGCTTGTTATAGCAGTGGAATCCTTGAGCAAATTTTCAGCATGGTTGCCTATAATAGGTGGATGAAAACAAAAGAAAAAAAATTTAATTGAATTCTTTCGGAAATCTATAGAGAATAATTTTAGGCTGGAAAATATCATTGATAATTACTATGTTTGAAGCGATTACAAGTTCACTTAGTCTGCGAACGGAACAAAGACTCTGTGACCAAAGACCAATAAGTTAGCTATTCCGATGCGTCCCAGCCCCGCTAACTGGCGAGGAAAGTCGAAGTTCGAAGGGGGAAATATATTCTGTAAGCAGCCAGAAGCACGAGCGATCCCAACCAGTCTAGCCGGAAATACACTCATTTATATATTGGTTTATACACACACTTTTGATTAATAATCAGAATAAATAACAGACATGAATAATATTTCATACAAGAATATCGTATGTTATACAGAATAAAATGTCATAGGGGAAGACGAAACAAGTACTTTGCTAAGTGATCATCAAATTGAATTAAACAGAATTAATGTTGAATAAAAATCATAATGAATAAATCAATCAAATTTTGACCTTTCATCCCGTCATAACAATAATTCCTTTAAAATGTACGCTTGTTTTTATGTGACCATGTTTGATGGAGATCAGCAAGGAAAGAAAAGTATATATATGTACTCTACAATAAGGGTGTGTACCAACGGATATGTGCTAAAAGGGATACATATCAACAGCTAGTATTAAAATGGTACATTTTATTTGTGCACTTAATAATCTTGTTTACGCTGACTCTGTTCTGAACTGAACGGGCTGGGCTAGGCGAGAAGTTGGTATATAGAGGACCAATAAGGACTCAGGATTGAATTTAGGCTGCTCGTGCTGGTTAATGCATCATTGGTTTGGCACAGGGACAAGACCAAATGAGTCAGTTTTCTGATTAGCGATTTTATCACTTGATATTCGATAGGTCATAGGACATAACAAGTAGTCAACACAAACCCAAGGCACCAAAAAATCACACAAAGGGTTGTTTATCTCAAGGTTAACCATATGAATACTATAGAAGCAATAAATAGGAAATTATGATGAAAGTCATGTGAAAAAAGATTACATATTAATCTCTGAAAACTGATGTCATCATGATGAAACAAAGTTGGTAACTGTTCTTTTTGAATACATGAGTTTGATTAAAGTCTTTTAAAAACAATGGCTTCAGAAAAGTTCAATAAAGTGTTAATCTTCTGTATTTCCGGTTACTCTGAGAGATTTTTGACGCGTTAATATCACTTCCACTGTCAAACAATTGACATAAAATACTTATAAAAAGTTTAAAAGATGTCAAATTAACTTGTGAATAATTTTGATGGAGTTTTGTTCTCTGAGCTGGATGGTTTGATCGTGGAGCTTTCATCATTATTCTGAACGACATCATCAGTACAAACTTTAGGTAGAAGTGAAGTGTTCGAATTTCTCCACATATGGCCCACAGCTTATCCTGTAGAGCTCGATGTTGATTGGTTCTTGTTGACCTTAAATCTATCATTGTTTACTTCTTTATTTTGGTTGTATCTTCCATTGGTTTGATTAATAATTAATATAAGAACTAGTAATGTTCTGTTAATATCAAATGAATCACTTTTAAGGTAACTCTGATTTATACACAAATCAGTCTCGTATACAAAACTTACGATGAAAGACCTTGAGAATAGTTTCACATACAAATTGAAATTGACCCTAAATTCAAAAAAAGAAATAAAGAAAGAAAATTATACAAGCTTATCTGTATTGAGTTGATTTTAAAAGAAAAGTTCATTGAATCAATTGAAGTGATGTAGTCTAAATTTAAATTTCACAGATTGAAATCATGAGTCAATTGAGGCTAGACCACCATGGAAAACCTGGGATCACTGGACGGTCATCTCGTCCTAGTATGGGACTCCTCATCAGTGCGCATCCACGATCCTGCACCCTGCGAGATTCGAACCCAGGACCCACCAGTCTCGCACCAGACACTTAACCAACTAGACAACTGAGCCGGCATCCAATGGTGTTAATGTCTAGCTTCAACCAATCCACGAAGTTGCGCCACCGTACACCATTGTCTTCAGTGAGCTGATAACTCACAACAGACCTGGTTGAACTCCACTGGTAACGGCTTTTCACTAGAGCTCCAGGAGTATCTCTTGAAGTCAGTCACTAGTGAGCAGATGATTGTTATCAGAAGGGGTTTGTGGAGATTTTAGAAATTTCATAGATTGCTGAGGAGTCCCATACTAGGACGAAACGGCCTTCCAGTGCTTTCAGGTTTTCCATGGTAGTCTAGCTTCAATCGATTCATGATTTCAATCTGTGAAATTTAAATTTCTAAAATCTCCACAAACCCTTTCTGACAAATTTAAATTGTTTAAAATGATCTTTATAGTTTTCCTTAAAAATTGATAAATTAAGTTTATATGAATTTTCAATTATGTAATGTTGTTCAACTGTAAACATTTAAGTCAAAAACTATTTGTGGTGTATATTTCAAAAGTAATTTTTTATCATGAATTGACATCAATAAATAGAGGGGATAAAATGAAATTAGTTAGCATGGAATAATTGTTTAGTTCTAATCTGAGCAGTTAACAACATCAAAACAAGATCAAGTTAAGACGTTTAATGTATTTATCTTTAGATTAGTAAGCTGGAGTTAAAACTATCATTTAAACCGTTGATCAATATCCATAAAATTTTACACTGACATTAGTTGATAAAGAAAGTTGACTTATAAAATTCTGAACAAGTATTTAAACAACTATCTTTTCAAGTTATATTCAGTTATGTTTTGTAATTTGACGATTTTTAACCTATTACTAATAGGAGATTTTATCGAAAGATCCGTGGTATCAAACTTGAAAACATGAGCTGACGATTACTTTCTATTGAAGCAGGTCATTACATTCCTTAATCTGATTAGATTTCTAAACTAGAGTTTTGTAATGAAAGTTTCTGGCCTCCAGTGGGCAATAAATACACTGTTGTTTGTTGTTTAAAACAGGTAGTATTTTAATTTCAACACTTATATTGAATTTATGAAACAGAAATATAAAAGGAAATAGATCAGGCATAGGTTATTTTAGAGAAATCTATTTATTTACATCAATTAAACGTAACGATGTCTGAAAGATTTTAAAAATTTTATAATTTTTAGTTCACTTTCACAAACTTAACAAAACTCTAAGAGTATAAACCTTCAAAAGTGTTGATTATTATAATTATAATTAATGACTTTAGTCAATATTATATTTCGGTACAATATAGAATTCTCAGCACAAAACATTTCAACAAGTTTCGTTTTCTTATTTCTTGATCGATCCTGATGATAAATATTAAGTGATCGCCGGTTAGATGTTAGCGGTTCAGGAGTCGACATCTAAATAATCTTTATTCTTTTCATTGCATATTGACAGCCACCAATATGTCTCCAATGATTGTACTTTTTTGTAAGTTATGCAGAGAAAAGTAATAAACGTTTCATAATAGCGCCTGAATAGGTTATGAGATGAATATACATAATAATGTGTTAAAACAAACAAACGAAAACAGATAACTTGTTGAAATGTCTTGATGGTAGGAATGGGTAGCCCAGAAATTAAAACAGCCAGCCGGTATTTTAAGTAATTAGTTTCATAAATTAAGTGGTTTGCTTTAAGCGGTTATCAGGTTAGTTAATCAAATTTTATAGGTCAACCACTTTTCTAGCTGAGAAAAAAATATTTTAATTCAATTTATAATAATAACAGTAAAAATGATATATTTTCTTACAGTGGTTTGAATAAGCATAGCTCTGTGTTCACGCATTCGTTGAACTAACTCTAAAGGTTTAACTGGATAATTACATTCCATTAAATTAATTGATGTTTCAATAGCAATTAGTACACCGGTTCGACCAATACCGGCAGAACAATGTACAACTATTGGTGTTTGATTTTTGCCACGAATTCGTTGAACTTGTTCTACAAATGATATAAGTTGATCAGTATCATTTGGTACACCATGATCTGGCCAACTAATATATTGAAGTTGTGAAATACGACGTGTTTCTGTTTGTTTCCTTAACACTGATTGCAAAGAGGCACGATGTGAAGGAATTTGACTAATATCGAATTCCCGATATGCAATATCAGTAATGATCTAATTTGAAGTGAATAACAAAAAATATATGTATGAGTACAGATTGCAACATGAGGCGCTTGAATAAAATTAGATTGTAAAATAAATGATAAATAAAACTCCTTGTTAAAGTAGAATTTTCATAGTTTTTGAATCACAAACTGATCTTAGCTAGACCACCATTGAAAACCAAGAAGCACTAGGCAGCTGTCTCATTCACAACACGGCCCCACAAATCGAACGCATGATCTTTGGTCGATGTTCACAGGGGTTCAGACCCATCAGAAAAGCCAGTGGTTATATGGACTCTGTAACTAAATGGATAACGCGTTGAATGACTGAAGCGAAAGGTACTGGATTCAAGTCCCGGTGAAAATATCAACACAATGACGCAGGCACATCCAGCAAACGAGTTCCAAATAGAACGGAATACTCGTACTAGATTCCAATGTTAGTCACAATCTATTCCTTTCATTAAGTCAGAATGTAATAGTGAGGTTTCTAATTAAAAATGGTGTTCAATAAGATTGGTACCATCAGATAAAATCATTTTGATTATATGGTTATCCAGTGCTTGACATTGAAGATGCATAGCTCTATGATAAGTAGAAGTTGTAATATCTTTCAAAATTATTAATATCGTTATTGCAGTGACACCTGAATATCTCCGACTTGATTCTATATATTGATCATGGGTGGGCATTGTTCGTAAGTTCCAAACCGGGGTAAAAAAGCCTAATGCTTTTTGGTTTTCAAATGTTTTTCATCCGATACCGTTTTTTGATGGAAATTAACTTCGAATTATATGTCTTAAAAATTACGGAATGACTACTAGCATTCTGAAACAATGAGGGGACGATTTCTGATCAACCACATTTGAACAAAAGTTTTCGGCGTTGGGGAATTTAGTTGTCAACATTACAAGCAGTAAATTTTATCAGATATAATACACGTAAGTAATTTTCTATTCGCATGTCTAATGCTACGAATAAGAAAATGTGTTTAACCTTTATGTAATATCCATGTTTCTTAACTACCTTATATTAATGAAATTGATTCGTAGAACGTTCAAAATCAAAAGACTAATCTTCTGTAAAACTGGAATTCTTACATTGACTTATAACTTAGTTGTGACAAATGTTGTATTGTCTGGTTTTTGGTAATGATTGAATCCTATCTAGTAATAATGAAGATATTTCTTGATGACAAGTATCGATTAATACAAAGTCGAAATTTAGGGTTTCATATCAATAACCGATAGCTATCTAATATAGAACGAAGTATATTGTATCATTTAGATTAGTGAATTCATTGTGACTTGAACGATAAATTTCGGTTAGGATATTGGTTGCTGACAAGTGATCAGTCAGTGTATCCAGATCTTTAGAATCAATTTAAATTTGATAATTATGTGTATATTTTGTTACTTTATTTCAGGAGGTTGAATTCCTATTTATTGAACAAGTCAATTCTCAGCTCATACACAATATTAAATGATTGAAAAATACCGTTTAGGGTTCGATACAATTTGATTTTAAAGAAGAATATACTATGAAAATAGAAGGCTGAGTGATGACTTTAAAATCCAGAAAAATCACAAAGATTACCTCCTCTCGTACAGTTTTTAATTGTAGATCTGTTGAACTACGGGACTGTGAAATCCTGGGACTTGAAGAAACGGAAAAGTTTACTGTATGATTGAGATCTGGCCAATACTGATGACACTTTGCCTGTGAAATTGTAAGAAGAAAAAGCTGCACAAATATACAGAGTGGAAACATACAAAATATAGTGAACGTGATTCATTTATCAAGTCCATAGAATATCAATCAGAATGCGGAAATCAAGAGAGATGTATTCATACTAGAAATTAGGGAAACATATGACAACGCAAAATACCTGGACTAATGCTGCGAAACGTATAACTTTACGAGGCTTTAGTATGTAGTTTTGTGAAATGTATCTTTGAGAAGCGACTCCTTCAGTCTAAGATTGGTCAGTAGCTTTAGCCCGGTTCAACACAATACAGCATGTAAAAACTCATTATACAGAAGTTTATTAATCGTTCATGTAATAATAATTGAATAAAATCTTAACCATGCATCAACATCCTTAAGAAATTGCAATACGGTCATAACTATACAACAGGTAGAAGAAGACTGGGTAGTAGGTACGTAATAAAGTAACAACAATTTAAGAAAGATGTAATACATAACAACAGTTTATGGATCATGGAATAGCTTACAAATAGGAGACCAAAATGCAATACTTTAAGTCATTGGTAAGAAACGATAAAAAAAGAACTATAACTTTATGTAGGACCGGTTTTAAAGTTTAACTTAGTATATATTCTATTATAGCTTTACCTGAAAATGATCAGTTTTTATAAGTGCAGATAACTGAAAACTTTAACTAACTATAATTTCTGATGAAGATAATTTTATACTTTATGAGTAACCTTCTATGTTCATGTTTTAAAATGACTGATAAATACTTGTTCTTTGTTTTCTGTCAAAGTCTTTCTACCTCCCTCACACTCACTCACTCACTCACTCACTCACTCACTCACTCACTCACTCACTCACTCACTCACTCACTCACTCACTCACTCACTCACTCACTCACTCACTCACTCACTCACTCACTCACTCACTCACTCACTCACTCACTCACTCACTCACTCACTCACTCACTCACTCACTCACTCACTCACTCACTCACTCACTCACTCACTCACTCACTCACTCACTCACTCACTCACTCACTCACTCACTCACTCACTCACTCACTCACTCACTCACTCACTCACTCACTCACTCACTCACTCACTCACTCACTCACTCACTCACTCACTCACTCACTCACTCACTCACTCACTCACTCACTCACTCACTCACTCACTCACTCACTCACTCACTCACTCACTCACTCACTCACTCACTCACTCACTCACTCACTCACTCACTCACTCACTCACTCACTCACTCACTCACTCACTCACTCACTCACTCACTCACTCACTCACTCACTCACTCACTCACTCACTCACTCACTCACTCACTCACTCACTCACTCACTCACTCACTCACTCACTCACTCACTCACTCACTCACTCACTCACTCACTCACTCACTCACTCACTCACTCACTCACTCACTCACTCACTCACTCACTCACTCACTCACTCACTCACTCACTCACTCACTCACTCACTCACTCACTCACTCACTCACTCACTCACTCACTCACTCACTCACTCACTCACTCACTCACTCACTCACTCACTCACTCACTCACTCACTCACTCACTCACTCACTCACTCACTCACTCACTCACTCACTCACTCACTCACTCACTCACTCACTCACTCACTCACTCACTCACTCACTCACTCACTCACTCACTCACTCACTCACTCACTCACTCACTCACTCACTCACTCACTCACTCACTCACTCACTCACTCACTCACTCACTCACTCACTCACTCACTCACTCACTCACTCACTCACTCACTCACTCACTCACTCACTCACTCACTCACTCACTCACTCACTCACTCACTCACTCACTCACTCACTCACTCACTCACTCACTCACTCACTCACTCACTCACTCACTCACTCACTCACTCACTCACTCACTCACTCACTCACTCACTCACTCACTCACTCACTCACTCACTCACTCACTCACTCACTCACTCACTCACTCACTCACTCACTCACTCACTCACTCACTCACTCACTCACTCACTCACTCACTCACTCACTCACTCACTCACTCACTCACTCACTCACTCACTCACTCACTCACTCACTCACTCACTCACTCACTCACTCACTCACTCACTCACTTACAATATGCATATATAATTGAAAATTTAGTGAAACAATGAGATAAAAATGCATTTTAATATTGATTCAGAATAATTTATGTTACTTGTATTTTTTATGATTATCACTACTAGAGAATTAATTTTATTTATCAGAATGTAATTTCATTCTACCGGTTTTGTATAAAAGGGTAGATACAATTTAAAAATGAAAAAAAAAACAAACAAATTCCATGTGTTTAAAATTCAATATGCTGGTATCAGAGAGAATTTTATTATTAAAACAAATTATATAATATTTAACATTAACTATGTGATAACAATTTTCTTTAAACTAGTAAAGATTTAAATAGAGAAATTTCATTTGAATTTAGTCTCATAAAAAGGGAAAATAATGATTCATTAGAAGTGATGAAGTTTTGAATGTGTTTTTCTAAACCAAGAAAAATGATGCATCTCAGTACTATAGAAGGTCAGGAGCGATTGAGATAGCTTAGTGATATCGTGGAGCTATGAAGCTGGATGATACGGGATTGAATCACCAGGGAGCATCGGCTCCGAGATAACAGGTGCAGCATGCTGACAAATGTCAAGTAGCACGAGATCTATGTTCAGGGTTTCCTGTAGACTACGTCTATTATATATCTTTTTAATTTGGAGGTAAGGAAGATAAAGAAAATTACTGTTGTAATTTGCCACTTTACAATCAATAAACCGTTTTGATAGTATCGATTCTATGTCTACTGGATTCTGATGTGCATCAATTAGTATCTTAAAATCTCTCATACGTTTTGTTCTGACACAAATGTACCATTTTAAATAAATCTACACAACTAACATCTTTGTCAAGGTATTCAAATCCATTTCAAGATCTTCTTACCGCTGGTTTAAAATTCACCCGTTTAAACTTTCAAAGTTATTTGATCAATTATATATATATGGAGAATTCATTGATTATGAATACAGTGATCTTGAGTGCTATTAGAGGTATGAGGGCGGTTATCACTTCCCGGTTGCCCACACCGTGGAAAGGTTCTTCTAGAGGTACCTGAAAAGGAAATTAGGTTAGGCGTGGTCTGAGTGACCTCAGAGCATAACCACAGTGCCCAAGAGACAACTGCTTGAGGTCGGTCGTACCCGACCTTTTTGTGAGTAATTTCCATGTTAGCTCCGTACTTGTTGAGACCTTACTGTTGGAGACGGATATCCGTGGGATAAGGTGAGGTGCGCATTTCTAGGGTCGACCTTTTCTAGCCCCACCCCTCCTTGTGGGGAGGCAGCATCGCTGTTATGCTGGTTGTCTGACGGAAACACCTTACTTCCGTCACACCTCTGTACAGTCGGCAGTACGACTTTGCCCTTGGACATTGGATTTACTGCTTTTAGTCTTACCGCTCTTCAACCGACCTGTCTGGCATGGTAGGACCTTGAGGGATGACCGTTCCAGCTAGCACAGCTCGACTGGTTCATCACGATACTGTTATCATTGTATACTATTGTCTAAATTATTTGTGACATGGGCGGATTTATTAAGTCATGGAATTAAAAGTAAACAACCTATAATTATGATTATTTGAAAAATCTAAATCGATCCATTTGAAACCCTGTACATTTCAAAATAACTGACGTAAATTCATTCGAAAAAAAGAAGATTAAACTAATCATTTTAGAATAGTGAAAATAAAATTGAGTTTTGTTTAAAAAAGCCTAATTGATTTTGCTTTGCCAAAACTGATAAATACTAATTTGAGAACTATGAGAAGAAATTTATGTAGTAAATTTTGTCAAAGTAAAAAAAACCGCTTGTTGTCTCAATATCGACGAAATTACCGAGAAAATTTCTTTAAAAAACTTGTTATTATCGATACTCGTCAAAATGCTACATAAAAAGTTATGTTTTCTTCTTTTCAACCTAATTATGGAAACGATAGACATGGGGCAGCCGTTTTTCGTTTGTCATAGACGTTATAGCAATTTAATTTATTAGAAAAAAACATCCAAGAAGTTAGCGATTATAAAAAACGCAATAAATTATAATTTCCAAAAGAAATTTATACTATTTTAAAGATGGTTTCATATCGAGGTGATATGTTAGAGTTGAGAAAAATATCAATAATGGCATATTATAACAAGATTGAACATATGGAACGATGAATTCCGATTCGAGGGGTAAAAAGGTAGTATGGTTGCGGATAGGCCTTAAGGATCCTGATTTTTATTTTCTCTGTCGGGTTTTGGGTGTAAAATACTTAGAATTCGAGAACTCGAATCAATGGTTCTCTAGCTGATGTTATTAGTTAAAGAAAACTATCCCTGAATTTACTTAATTGAGTTTTAATTACTTATTCGACTCAATCAAAGATTGAGACTAGAATCTTTGGATTTATTTATCAGTATGGTACCATTATAATTAATAATTTTGAGTTCTTTAGTTATCCGTACTTATTTTCATTTTACATTTATGGTACAGTGCATCTATCCCTCAATATCAATGAAGAGTATCTGTTATCGCATATGGCTTGATTTGTGTAACTAACTTCAATTGGGATCTTATAAATCAGTTTTTAAAGTTGGTTGATAATGAGTTTGGTGTTGTTGTCGGCGACGTAAGTAGATGTTTAAATTAAACTCACCAATTTGAAAATAACCAACCTAATGAAGAATTCTCTGGGGACAACTAGCTCATTTTGCTAAAAGAATACAGTGTAGTTTGAAATAGAAGACCGTAATTGGTGTAACATATTAGTTTGACAATACTATTAAGTACTTTTTATAATTGTGAAATAAATTACAAATTGCCATTCAATCAATATTAAGTCAGTATGCTGTTATAAATCGACTGGTTGGAAAATCAAACATGTCTTTAGTTTGACTGTTTAAAGAATCAAGGAACAGGAATGGTTCAGGAGTTATTATAAGCTATTTTATGCGTTTACATATAGGTATACCACCTTCAGAAAGTTGGTAAATGATCTAACTGATTACTTAAATGTTTCAGTTTTCTCCTCTAAATATATTCCATGTTGATAAACAGTGATTACAAGATGTGAATAATTGGATCTAGTTTTTAATTTATATACAAGGTATACAGCACTATAGAATAGAAAGCGTCGTGCGAACCGATTTTTTTCAATCATAATGAATAATTTGTAAAAACCTATCTTCGAAAAATGTGAGTCCACACTTAGTAATGAATTAAACTTACTCGACCACGTTCACTTATAGCTGTCAACATAACGATTAAACAAACTTGTTGTTCCCAGCACATTTGCCAAAAATCACCATAAGTATTTGGTAATGGGCCTTGAGCTGCAATATAACGAAGATTTACTCCACATTTTGGAAATTCCATCTGTAATATAAGATATAAATGAAAATAACTCTAGGGAATTCTTGAAACAATCTAATGTTTTTCATTTCATGCTTAAAATGATTAGTTCTGGTTAAAAATTTACTATCATTTTAATTGATTATTTAGTATGATCAATCTATAACTGTAGAATTATTAATATGTAGAAAAATGTTTAACAAATATGACAGTCATTCGCCTCAAAAGTTCATATTATTTAATTAACCATTGAAGGATAAAATCCATATGTTGTTTACGGTCCTGAACATCTCTAAACCTAGTCTTTTGGTTGTGTATTTGTACGATAGGGTCACGAAAAAGTTCCAATTCAACAAAAATAATCTATTGAAGAATTTTAGAAGTCGGTGAAATACATACCCAGTTGTCTTAAATTTGTGGTGATTATTTTAGTATTAATACTAGTTACGATGTAATAGTGGGTATTAGAAGTAACATTTTTGACAACTTTGAAACATGAATTTAATCGGTTATAATTTCTGGTTGAATGTTTTGAATAGAATAAATAGTGTCTGGCGAATAAACTTAGGACTACAACTATTATTTCACAAAACCTAGAATCCCGAAAGTCACAGCAAAGTTCAAGGTCGTTCTAAGCTTTATAATTTGTAAGTGATAATTCTATTAAAAGTAATCAATTGACTTTAAATGCTTAAAATTCTTAAATATTATGAAACAGATAAACAATATGTTTATTCGAAGATTCTATTTAACACAGGTTAACATCAACAAGCATATTTTAAGGATGAATAAGCATTCATTACCTGTTTCATTCTAGTCTAGGACAGCTTAATAGTGCACAACCATCGAAGAAAAAGAGGTTTAAATTGTAGCTTTTTTAGTTATACAACCAAGTACAACAAGATGCATTTGGTGGGTTAGAATCCAATGATTTACATTTTCTGACTTCGGTCAATATTTCGCACACTACGATTTCCGTCTTATGTTATTAGTAAGTTATTCTTACTCATTGTTAACTTAATCGGTCTCAAACATGATTTTAAAAAAATCTAAATGTTAGTTTACTGCTTCATTCATTCGATCATAGTGATTGAAGTAAATTTGTCTAAGATTTCTCAGTTATTAAAAATACAATAACGCTTAAATGAATTCGGAAGTATAACCAAGACAAAAAGTTTGGGTTTATTTGTGTACTGTAAAAAAAAGATTAAGATGCTTTACAGTCGGGAAATTGACCTATACACAAAAGTAAAACTGACGAATTATGTTTCACAACTTTATATAAACTTCCATTATAGTGGATTTAAATACGATCATGTTTTTCTTTCTAGAAAAATATAAAAAAATCCAACATTTATCGGTATTTCTTGTTATAGGGACCACACAATTTAGCTTATATGAAACAGATAAACTTGAGGTTGATTGAGTTAAGGGATTTTTTGTACTCTTTATACAAGATTGTTGTAACCGGAATCAGTTATCAATTGAACAAGTAATGATAAACAGCTATGTGTGTGAGTAGTTTTTTTCTATGTATAACTCTAAAAATTCTTTAAAGTTAAACTATTGTATTTTTTCAGGATGAGATAGAAACATTGAGGTACTACAGTATGCTTTAGTTGATCAAGTGAAATAATGGAGTTTTAAAACAGGAAAACGTAAAAAGATTAATTTAGTAGAAGAATCTTTTTCAACAAGTTCATTTGGAAGTCTGCGTATATATATATATATATATATATATATATATATATATATATATACTGTATGTCCTATAGTTTAACTGTAAAGACAAACATTTTGACAACTATTAAGAATCAGAAACCACCCTGTAGCTATTTCGTTCTAGTATTGAACTCTTTACTGGTGTACATCACCAGGGGTCGAGTGCATGAACTTCAAAATTCGTAGTAGAAATTCAACCTTCAAATCAACAAGTTTATGTCCAGGGGTTTACACTGCTAATTTCAATCGACAATGATCAATTGCGATTAGTAATATTTGTCATACACCGGATATGATTGAACTCTTTAATTTTGATGGTTGTCTAACAGATACATAAAATTATGAAATCAAATAGCCTATACAACATAATATACTAAAACGACTGCGTTTGTGAGAATGTTGGGAATGTATAATCGTTTGAGTAAGTGGAGTATGTGCCTCATTAACCAAAAATTGAAGAGGAAGACGTGCATTATGAATGATAGCCACAAGTTCTGAATGGTAACATCGTTTATCATGAAAAAAAAGGCAAGAGAATCAAAGAATGTTTGCTGATGTGAGGGGGGAAATATATTAAGACTAGGATCGTGATAGAGGGAAGGATCAATTACTCTACTTTTCTACCTCGAAATTTCCCATGGGTGTTTAAATACTGACCTTTCGGGATCCTTACTTGGTGTTTGCAAATAATGTCAAAGTATGCGCTTCAAGATTAGTAACCTAAACCAACTACACGTTGCGGAATAGATGACACCATTATGATACATTTCCTCTTGCTAAACCATCCAAGGCTATGTTCCGAGATGAAATAAAAGTGACCACAGCAAAACGAAAAAAACACAAGTAACAACTTATTTGTATGTTTTACTGAGATAACGATATTTGGATTTTAATGATTAATTTAAATAATACCATAACTATATTGGAGTAAGTTGAAATAAATAATATAAATCACACTTGATATTCAGTGAAATATTGATGACATTATTTACACATCAAGTCACTCTCACTCAAAAATTCCTTATTACTAAACATTTTCATTTACTTTCAATGAATAAATTGATTTAACCGATGTAAATGGAATATAGGTTATCACCGAAGCGATAAAGAGGGGTTTTGTGGATATTATAGTAATTTAATAAATGAATTCATGAATATAAATTATAACAACAGTCTACAATTCTCTACAGAAAAGAAGACCAAACTTTAAGTTTTAACGTAATTCTTGTTTTAAGCATTAGAAATGAGAAAAAAGTTTATAAAATTTTCTGTATCATCTAATATGCATCCTGTTGTTCAATAAACTAATACAAAATGTATTGTGAGCAAGAGTGACAACTAATTGGCAAAAAACTTCTTATTGAGTTTATAATTATACAGACATGAATTAAATTTCATTTAAGTGTCAGTATTAACAACAGATTACACGCCTAGGTTAGAGCATTGTGTATTATGTGAACAAGGATAGATCTATCTTTACAGTAGGAGGATTTTCAATAAACCTCATGTTAGTTATAAAAGTATTAATTGATAAAATTTAATGATTATTATTACAACTCGATTATAGTCGAATTTAACTAATAGTTCGTCAAGGTACGTTAATATGTTGTGCAGAGTTCTGACTCAAGCATTAGATTTTGTAGATAAGATTTTATGCGAATTTACGAATAGCAATTTTCTAGTAGCAAACAATCTTTTTGTTGCAATTACAACAATCAGTTTGTGCGGACTAATTTAGATTGAATATAGTCATTCTTGGAAGAGTGACTTGTAATTTGATAATAAGACTTTTATTTTCTATTGACTAAATCGTTATCTTTTCTAATATCTTATATACGATTGACAAGTATAAGTAGTTAGTTGATGTAAATTTTGTTAAATAGGAAAATATTCAACTTCTTGAGCAAAAATAGTTACTAAAGGTGATAATCGTTAGCAAATGACAAAAAATGATGTAATAATGACAATCTAGAGGTACTGGACAATTATTTTGTTCCAGTTTACAAAACCCTGATCATTGTGTAACCATGGTCCTGTTCAAGGTGAAAACTATGGTCTTTAGGTTTACCAATACGCAAAATATATTTCGTGCACTATCGACTTCACTAAACGTGTAGTAAAATACTCATTCCACATTATCGGTGAGTTATTGTTTTACTTTTGAGTGGATTAACTTGACGGGTCACGTTGTTAGGCTATAGCAATTCAAACATAGACAGTCGCTAGTAGGCATTTAAGTTAAAGAAACTAAGTTTTGTCTTAATTAAAGTGTATCTGAGGCTTATAAAGATACAGATTGTGAAGAAAGCTATGAAAAAAAGGCTGATCGATCAATTCAGTAAGTGAAAATTTTCACTGTTTATAGGAAGGAAAACATTGTCTTGATTAATTCCGTAACAGCTTATGTAGTTTGTAAATATCCAAAGAAAGTTTGCTGTATAAAGACGTCATAGTAATTCTCATGAATGTTCTTCTGATAAAAAAATAATCTGCTTAGTTCTTGAACTAAAAACCAATTTGGTTAGTTTTTTTGAAATTAAATTTTTTAAATTCATTTAATGATCTTCCATTTTTAATTCTGTTTCATGATGTAAACATCGCAGAGCATATTTAACCAAAAAACTTAGTGGTATTCGAACTGAATTTAACAGACAACTAAAGACACATAAACAAATACAAAAGGCGATATTAATTAAATATCTTTAGATTAGACAGTTTGGAATAAAAAGAACATGAAGTAGTTCTGGAAACTGAAAAGAGAATGTCAATTGCTTATGAAATAAGTATCGTCATAAAAACAATACAGCGATAAGAAAAAGGGACGGGGGTAGACGGATTTTTTGAGTTAGTAATGGACTCTTCAACAGTGCGATCCCACAATCTTGCGTTAAAAATATCTTACTTTAATAAAAATCATTTGCTTAACAGTGACTAGCTTCCTGAATATACTCGTTATTCCAGTGACAGATCATAGCTAGTATATTTAAACTATATTGGAAGTGAGATAGATATTAGTGATAGCATTAGATATTGGTCATAAGTGCACACAAATAGGAAGTTTTAATATAGTCTGTAACAACCGTTCGGTGATGTGCTATTTACAATAGTTATTATATCGAAGTCACTTCATGATTTAAATTATTCTAACCTTGAACAACCTTTACATTTTCAAAAACGATTAAGTGGCTTGTATTATATTATTAAAGAAAAGCAATTTTCGACAGTGAGCGTACCATAACAACCAATGGTAATATGACAACTAGATCTATCTTTAAAGTACGAAAAAGGAATCTATGCTTTAGTAAGAATATTACGACGGCTTTATATAGTATGATGAGTGAAAAAACTTTCTTATCTTTAAAGCTAAATGAATTATCACAATCATCTGATATAATACAATAGAATCCCTCGTGTGCGGTCGTGATTATGCATTGCTGAGGTGTTCCATACTAGGATGAAACGACCATTCAGTGCTTCCAGGTTTTCAAGGGTGGTCTAATATTGACCCGTTCATGATTTCAATGTAGTACAATACCGTTTAATAGCTTAATAAAACAATATTTATGTTTACCGTGTTTACTATTGTCAAGTTAAGAATAGCCGCTAGAAAGTTTTAACAGAGATATTTACAATTTTTCAACGTTCGATTGTGAAAAACCGCTATTCTTTCACTGACTTACGATACATCTCATCTGTAGGTACTAATCACTAAAGGATTTGTAGCAAAAGTATAAAGTCTTAATTTTCAAATATTAGATAATGTGGAGGGAAATAAACCATAAATGATAGTAAAAAGTTTGCATGTATAATTGAATAAAAATAGAGATAAAGTTGGTTCAGTTATAGGTAACAATGATTTGTTTAAACAAGCGAGCTTACATTTACAAAACTAGCATTGATATAATCTCCAGATCCTTGTTTTAATATGACACGAGTTTGATCATCTGTTTCAAAACAAATACATAAACAAAGAAATCAAATAAAATCTACTGACAAACAAAAAGAGGATGACCAAATTTTATTGGATGATTATAGTTTATCATTTGGAGGTTTCTCTTCTAGAAGTTATTATCAATAAGTTTTCAGTTGTTTTTGGATCTTGCTAGGGAGTTTAATTAAACTGTTGATATGTCTACTTGGAAAAAATTTGATAAAATCGTTATTAAATAGGAAAATTGCTATCCAATACTTTGATCCAAAGGAAACACGATAATGAAATAATTTACTAGGTCATGAACAGATGGTCAGCTAAGAATCACTTTATGGAATTTTGAAGATTATTGAATCTTCATGCACACCATTAAATGCTAGCTCATACACATAAAGATTACGTGATCATCGCAAGACCTGAAGGTGCTGGGTTTGATTCCCTATGTGATCATAGGTGCAGAGTTCTTAGGAGTCCCATACTAGGTTGTTTAACCAAAATCGATCAGTGATGCAAGCCATAAAAAATCAATCAAGAAACTTGAACAGCTTCTCGTTTTTGTTAGAAAATTATTTTATGGTCAGAATCTTGAGTTGTAAGAAAGACATTTCTGCTAAATTGATAAATTTGATTTCATTTGTTAATGTTTTCTCATTCTAATAAATCTATTGATATTAATTTACTTATTAATCTTTTATTTTATCAATAGTTATTAGTTCACATCCGCAAACCGATTGACTTTAAACAGTCATGGAATACTGTTTCTTTGATTTAAATGACCAATAAGTATCGACTCGATAAGTGACGATTATCGATTAATTCTATGAAGGTTGAAGACATAAAATTATTCAGAGTATTTACATATTTCAAAAGAATGGAGAATAACAAAACTGAAGTAATCATTGAACTGAATATTCCCTGGCAAAAGCGTAAATAGAAATGTAATATAACCTTATCGCTGTTTGAGGAATAAAAAAAACTTGAAGTTGTACACGATGTATTATTCGTGGTATTTAGTGGCCTGATATCTGACTCCAGGTAGATCGTTCACTGATTGTTATAAAAGATACATGCCGAAAATCCTTGTATATAATCATCGACTTAAATCGCATTGGTGAACGACGGAATTAAATAGGTTAAATACGAGAATGGACTTTTTGAATACGTACATTTCGTACAATCGTTGGTCGGTACAGACATTCAGAGAAACGCAGAGAAGGAAACAAAAAGGAGAGAGAGAGGCGAAACAAAAGGATGCACAGTGGGGAAGGCGGGTGAGCTAACTCCATTTAATCAAGTAATATCTGTAGTCAGACAAAAATAAGTTACAGACATGTGATGACTACAGAACTCATACACACGAATTTGTAGATTTAATCCTTCTTTAAAAGACAGAACAACGATCGAACTGAAAGCCTTTTCTCTCTCTTATATTTTTATATGAAATGAAAATGCTGCTGTATATAACTAGTAATTGTTTTACACTCTCCTTTTAGAAGCGAAGCTGGATAGTGTTTTGAGATGCGTTTGAACAGCGAAATGAAGATGTTCTGAGTACTGTATATCAATAAATGTTACAGAAAATAAACATACTCTAAAACCAAACAGCGTCTGCAGTTTAAACTGGATATTCTGTCACAACTTAAGGTTTGTGTTTTTCAATTGCTGTTATTTAAGAGCTGAAGCTGGTCAACCTCCGTTTGGGCAAGTGTATCCTAAGTGGAGTGTATCGATGTTATCTTTTAGTTAAAAGATTTTTGTGCATTGTGGCTAGTAATGAGAAAATGAAAATCTTGGCAAATAACTACATACTTGTTGAATAATTTAGTGACTTTTTCATTCAGTGGTTCTGAGGATAACTCGTTGCTTGGAGAGATGAGTACTTGGTTGAAGTCATGGCGTTCACATGAATACTCGAATGTAAATTCGTCTGACTAATGGGTACCATATAAGACGAAACGAACATACAGAATACTACTTTTATCCATTGTCCAAACGTTAAGTGACGAGTTTTAAAATTTACTTTTAGTGTCAAATTTGTAGATTAAATCCAGATCACAGATTGTTAGTTGAAGATGATAAAAAAAAGGTTGAGTATTCAACTACTGCACAAGGAGTCTAAACGTTTCAGAGATAACAGTAAAGTTGCAGAATGTATTACTCAACTTAATAAGGTTCGGTTTCATTTAAATCTCGCCACTACGGTTATATAAACCTTGAATGCATCGGGTTAATAATAATTCCATACAGTGAGGTATCTGATATAGATTTGGTGTATTTTATTATCGGTAATTTACAATTTTATGGACCAACCGTAGAAGTTGTTTGATTAAGATAGATCAAGTTCTTCATTCTAGTTGATAGAAACAGACAGTAATAGTAAATAATTAAAATTTCAATAGGATGCAAGTATATGAAGTACCACGGACATTCAAAGATGCATAGTTATCTGATGAAACGCACTTTAGAAATACAAACATATTTCCGTTTTTTTGTTATTAACATTTAAATTTATGTAATAATCTACTGAGTAAAAATAAGGTTAGTTAAATAATTTGACGTTAAATCCTAACGGTACTCATTTAATTAAAGTGAGGGTTGTTTACTACAATTTGCCTGTCAATTCTAAGTGCTTTAGTCATGGTTTTGATAATTCTAATCTAAGGAATGAGATAGAATAAAAGATAATCAAATATCCTTAAGGCTAAATAAAACCTGAGGTTAATATTGATTAGTTAATCATAGATTTCTTGAACATTTTACTTCTTAGTCTATTTGAAGTAATGATATTTGATGACTGAAAAATTGTTGCTTTTAAAAATTAGATTATTATTTTAATAAGTCACAGTACTTACAACAAAGAGATAACTTCACCTATTCATATATAAGTTAAACAAATAGATTTGGTCTAATGTGACAATTTTAGTACGTTACAGTTGGTTGCCAAGAGAAATCTGTTTAGTCCTAGCAAATTCAAGTTAAGTCTGTTTATTCAACCATAATAGAATCTTATCATAAAACTTTATAGATGTTAGAAAAAATACTGCTAATATTGATTATCATACCGAGAGTTTATGGTTATTATGTTACAAAACTTATATATAGTCGTTTTCAGTGATTTAGTATATGATACAATATTGGCTATGGCATAGACTTGTAGGGAATATTTTCTATTGTAAAGCATAGAAAAGTTAATGAGAATTAGTTAGTCATATAAGCCATGAAGATTGCCATTATGTAATCCTGTGAACTATTTGAATAAATATATTGTAAGTGACCATTGGAACTCAGTCGACGCAACTGGATCAATTAAATCTGACTGATTGACAAGGAAAGCATATTAAATATTTAGAAAGCTCTGTTGGTATCCATTAAATGATGTTATTTATAACATTGGAAAAGAATATGTTTATTTTGTCAAAATCAAGTTATTTTATACAGAAGTAAGCCCTGTTTTGCAACTAACTGACAGGTTAGATCATTTGATAGTACCAGATATATCAGCTCTATACTTTTTATTAATAATCTTTTGAGTAGCATTAATTAGGGATGTTCAATCAGCAGAATGGTTGAATTTACTGAAACTTACGTCAGAAAAGACACTCTTATTGATTCTTGAACAAACGAAAAGTAGTTCCACTAGTGATCTTGAGGTGTATGTAAAATAAATTATTAGAACTAAGGACGTAACGCTTGCATTTATGGGTACAGAAAGTAAATAAATAAAGAAACCTCTTTAAAAAAATATATTTACATAATTGTTTCGTAAATACATAATTTCATTTTTCCGGATAATATTACTATTTTTTCCCCTTTGCATTCTTATCAAGTACTTTCATTTTACGTAGATAACGTTTTGTATTCCATTGAAATGTAAGTCAATAATAATAAAAAAATCATATTCTTACATGGTGAAATATCACGATAACGATTTTTTATTGAATTCTCGCTTAAACGAGACACATTCATTGTGAGACCAGATTTTCTTCTAGGCAGATGCTAGATATTTTAAAGATAAACAATTATTGTAAATTTTCTAATACCATGGTAGAATAAAAGAACACATAAGAAGTGTATATTTAATTGTTCAAATATAGAAATATCAAAATTTAAGGAGGATCAAGAAATTGTTTTGTATAAAAGACTATGAGGAATTGTTTAGTTTTATCAGATGAGATGATGGTTGGAAGTAGTCGGCAGGAAACCTTGGACCTAGGTTTCATGCTATTTGGCACTTGTCAGCAAGGTGTACCTGCAATCTTGATGGAACTAATACTCCCTGACCAATTCGATCCCGCGGCACTGAGCTTCACAGTCAGAAACGTTATCACAGAGTTGTTCGGGCCGCAACTGACTTCCTATTGTTTTATCATTATATAGTAAAATGAATAAACAAAACATGTCTTTCTGAAGTCGTTAAAATAAAATGTAATAATATTATCGTTATTATTACAATTATGATCATAATTGAGACAAGATACAAAGTAAATTAAATCTGGATACTCATTTTTTGTCATGTAGAATGTTCAATTGCGTTCAATTTTCAGATCTGACACAATAATATCCGTTCAAATGACAACTGTAAGAGTAACTACTAAGATAAATTAACTGATTTAAATAAATGATAAACTATCACTATAATAAGGAATTACTTCTAAAGTAATAATTACACCTAAAATAATATGCAATCAACAAATATCCGTAGACTTACTTCGAATTGATTTAACAATGATCCATCAGCTAGATGACTTTCTAATTCTATCATTGAATCTAATAATGTGGAACCAGAAAAAGAATATCTATGTACGGTACTATTGTTATGATCTCGATCCATTGCATTATTAGATGATGATGATTTAAGTGAAAAACGTGTTAAACGTTTCGAATTTCTTGCAAATTTCTCTAAAGAAAGTGTTGGTCGACGGATAGATGAGTTATAAGATCTAGGTGGAACTGGAGGAGCATCTCCAGAATCTGGGATAGGATTGTCATCATTTACATCATCTGTAACATAATCTGTATGGGTAAAAATTAACACAAACTGATATTACGTAGTCAAATATATGTACATATATGATATGAAATAAAGTATAGCGTTTATTTTTTCATTATGGAAAGTTACAACAAGATGAATTATTTTACTTATTATTTAGAATGTTTCACTGTTTGCTTATCACTTCAGCAGCCCCCAAATGCCCTGGTTAGGCCGAGAGTGGGGAGAGTCCACTCTCCCTCCCAAAATGCTCTCACACGGTCACGTGTATACAGCATCTGCCAGAGAAGTCCTACTCACTGACTTCTCGTGGCGGGGGTGTTGTTTACGAAAATGAGAGGACGAAAAGCGAATGTTCGGCGCTTTAACCGGGTTGGTGGACACGGAGAGTCGGATCAGACCTTCAGGTCGAAGGCTACGGGTGTGGCCCCCTAAGAAAACTACCTGCTCCGGTTTGGGCATTCGCGCAGTATCACAGTTCTCACACATATCAAATGAGATCTGTGTGACGCATATCTATTTGGTGCCTCCTTGTACCAATATCTATGTGTTAAAATAAGTAAATAAAATAAATATCACTTCGGCATGTATTTATTCTTTAGTAAATGTGTTTACATATATAAATTGTTAGATGAACTGAATAGTGCACACTTGTCGATTGCAGAACATATCTTATTGTTTAAGTAAGTAAATACGTGCATTTATCAATAAAAAAAAGAAACTTTTGTGTCATTCCGTTATTTTAAGAAAACGAAAAAAGATTATATCAGTAAGTTAAAGTCGGAATAAAGTTAAACTAAAAACCGAATGAAAAACCACAGCCGACGCAGATAGATGTAAGATATTGAAATGAGTGATTTTGAAAGAAATATCTATGTCAATTTATTGCTTCATCTAATTTATTCTATTCAAATTAAATTTATAAAAGACAATCAGGTAATACGTTAAAAAAATATGAGCAAATGCATGTACGTGTTCGCGTCGACAATATATCATATCAAGTTTCAAAGTAGCAGAATATAGCTAACAAAGATCCGCAGTTTCCAATAGTTCACCAACTAATGGATGAAAACCATTTTCATAAACGTAATACTTATTTCATATTAGAAAAAAAGTATATCTCATTGTAACATTACTTCAAAATGTACAATATACATTGTAATTTTGGGATGCACATAATGATTAACACGTTCAAAGTTATATTTATCGTAATGTTAATATCTCAAGTTGTGATATTCATCTATAAACCTTTGTATTGTCCTATTATAATTTGCATATTATAAACAAATAAACTTTATGAGATTCTTCACTGATGAACTAAATACTAGACAGTTCTTTAAATGGATTTACTTGTAAAATTCATTTGAAATTTTTAAGTGAAATGTTTATGTGTTTAACTTGTATGTACATCATTTTAATAATTATGTTATCTTTGAAAGATTTTGTTCACATTTTATTTATTAATATTCATAATAATACTATTATCATTTATGTTTTCATGAGAACATGAATTTGAATTCCCCGGCTTTGTCATGTGTACGTGTTTATATGTTGTGTTGTTTATTGAGGGGAATAAAGGGGAAAAAGTTACATCTTTATGTCCTTTTTTATTCAAAACCACTGCTCAACTACTTAATATTTGTTATCATAATTATGTTAAGAAGGATAACAAAAAAATTAGGCAAAGGAGGAAGTGTGAAAGAAACAATGTTAAAACACAGAGAGAAAATTATTTTATGGTTTGTTAAACAAGGTACACAATTTAAATTATGAAAACAGAGCTAACAATGAAAGTTGAAAAAAAAACGTTCGTGTGTTACAAGAGAATTTAAACAAAGGGGTTTAAACATTTCCGGTTACTGATAAAATACAATTCATTTATGTCGACATTATGAAATATTAATAATTGTTAATAGTTTGATAACCAAAGCTATTTTAGTTATATTATTTAAAGTTACTTATTGACCTGTTTTGAACACGAAAACGTAAATGAATATACATTGTTGTGAGAAGACAATATATTTAAGTGCATACTAGACATGGTAGAATTAAAAAAATCAATAGACTGTAATCCGATTGAAATCATGAACCTATTTAAGTTAGCCCACCATTGAAAACCTGGAAACATTAGACATCCGTTTAGTTTTAGTATGGGATTCCCCAGTAGTGCGCATTCATATCTCCACACGCGGGACTAGCACTCAATAGCTTCGGTCTCGCACACAAACGGTTAACCATTAAATCATAAAACCGAAAAAACACACTAGGACGAAATGGCCATCTAGTGCTTCCAGATTTTCAATGGCGGTTTAACTTATATCGCTTTATGATTTCAATGAAATTCAACAATCTCCACAATTCCATAATGAGAAATGTTGTAACCAGTTTAGCTTCGTCATTCGGCTATTTAACTCTTCTTAAGTGGAACTTCCAAGATAATATATGAGATAAAGATGGTTGAAAAATATTTGTCTGTTACTTATGCCTCAGTTGGATTTATAAGCAAAGTATATATATATATATATATATATATATATTTGGTACAACAAAATGCAAAAGCACACTTACCACTTGGTTTAACTAAAAGCTCAAGTGTACCATAATTTTGTTCACTTGCAGCACGTATCATATTTACAACCTAAAATTCCAATTTAATAAAACAAAACAAAGACAATAGTTATCATTTAAATTCTAATGTGAATTTGAACAATAAACTCATCGATACAAAAAGAAAACAAAGTTTATAATGTGATATTTATTGGTAAAAATTTGTTTTCTTTAATTATCTCAATTGACTAGTTATAATAGGAAGTGGAAATCTGGAAATCTGGAAATCTGGATTAGATAAGCAAGAAGACTGTAAACATTTCTCATTACACGATCAAATAAATGCAGATAATACAGAAGAGCGATGAGACAAAGAGGCACTGTTTGGTTTCTTAATTATTGTCATAATAATGACAAACCGTTAAAACACTCGGTTGATCTAGATCACTGTATATAAATATATTCAAGAAGTGTTTTGTAACAACATCTGACATCATTAAGTTTAAAGTGGGAAAGCAGGAAAAACTTTCCCCAAATGTGATGATTTACATTACTAACAAACTTTAGGAGGATAACCATTAAAAAACAAGAACCATTATGGAGTTGATTAGTTTTTCTGAGGGACTCTATAGCAGTGTGTACTCAAGACTTCTCGAAGGGTCAATATTGATCAGATAATATTACGAAACTATTGATATTGAAGATATGAATCGTTGGATGTTAGCTTAATGTAGGAATGGCAACGTGTTCGTTTTGAGAACTTAGTGACCTAAGCTCATTTCCTATTACTTTTATAGGAATGCACTGATGAAGGATCCTAAACACAGCTGTTTGTTCAATGGTTGTCTAAATGAAGTCAGTCTGCTGCGAATACTTTCTTCACACTGAACAATCATCCCAAACCTTCAATCCTAATTTCTTCAACTAACTTAATTATTACCATTATCATCTATAGACAGTCAGTTGTGCTTTCCAAATAAAATAGTCTCGGGGATCTTTAGTGGTCTCCAATTATTCTATTTTGCTGTTCATCTAACGAGATAATTTGTACACCAAAAGTGAATATTTAAAGTATTGTTAATAAATCAGTTCAATAATTTCTCCTGAAAAATACAAAAGAGCCAAAAAAAATGTTAGAAGAGTAAAAAGTGTCTAGATATTACGTAAGTCACTGTTATAAACATTAGGTGCATTAAACGACAGTCATAACTCAATACTAAATGCATATTAAAGAGTATGCTTTTTTATGTTATCCAATCATTAGCATTACTGGTATTAATTGGTTAATCCGATTTGTGATTTAGTCTCCGGGTTTGGAAAATTTAAACCACAAAAAGCAAACAGAACGTTGAATAGTTAAAAGAAATTATCGAAAATTGGTTTAACGCGTCTGATGAATTTATAAACTTGATATTGACTGCATAATGAGGAGCCACAATCATGGACGTTATGTTAATCTGTTTCTTGATCAGACTGATTTCTATGCAGGAACTAATTCAATTAAGAACTAATGTTATGCTGCCTGATTCTCAGCACCGACATAATTTGTTTTACAACAATGTATTGTATTTGTTTCTATGCCCTTTCAGAGACTCCTTATTGTATATACTTATGAGCTACGATCATATTATTGATCGTTGCATGACAATACGAAGTCAAAGATTTTGCTTCAGTAGAACGCTTCTTTATATATTAAATGATTCAATTTCACAGTAATCACTATTAATCTAGGGAAGTGATAACATTCCGTATCAATCAAAGTAGACAACACATCCAGACGAACTCCCTATTTTTGAATAAAAAAGAACTTATAATGTTACCTGTAAATGGGTCTGGTTTGAAACATCTTTATGATTGATGAATAAGATTTGATCACCCTCTGAAAGTCTGGGAATGCATAGGTCAGCAGGCATATTAGCACCGACACGGCTAACTATAATCGGCATTCCATGATCAATCCCACCTTTTACGTTGAATCCAAATCGTCCATGACTGTCAGGTCTGATGGAAATACGGACTAGTCCTTCGGAATTTAATTCATTAATTTCATCAGGTAGGTGAAGTGAATTTTCAACGTCTGGGGCACCTGGATGAAATGGATCTCTATTTAAACCTTTATTACGCGTGTGTTGGGAGTTATCGATTTCAACACCATTATTATTTGTTACATCTGAATGCTTATTGAGAAGAAGAATAGATTACTTGAAATGATCATTATGAAACAAAATTAGTCGATAATAATTAAAAGAGATGCGAGAATTATGAATGAATATTTTATTTAGTAATCTCACCTAAATACATTAAGGATTATAAATGGTTTTTATGTCTTCTTAGACAACGCGCACAAAGCTAAGTGATAGACTAACACAAAACGTTAACTTGAATTGTACCATTTCAATCAATTGGAATTCTCAAGGGGAGATCAATAAATACCGGACGGTGTTGAAGCGAATTTGATTTTTAGCTGTAGTCGATCCTTAGTATGATACTAATTTTCTGTCATTTAAATAAATTATGATAAATATAGAATAGTTGATTGCATTCGGAAATCCCTATTTTTCATTGTAAGATTCCAGTTAACCGTTCTCTGGCTCGTATATCCGTAAATTCTAAGTTCAGCCGTTTTGAATATATCCATACGAACATTTGAACTCTATTATTATTAGTATTATTATTATTACCATTAATATTGTTACTATTAGGTTTAGGTTCCTCCCAGTACTCAGTGATCAAATATTTTTGATTGTAATAAAAAACAGAAAAATAAATTAAGTGATCATAATCGTAATAAAAATCCTTTAGTTTTTATCCGAGGCAACATTTTTTAAGCTACTGTTTTCTTATATCTAAAATCCATTCTTAAAGATAAATGGATCGATAAACACATGTACACATCGACAAATATAATTACAGCCAGATAGCTTACATCCATCATCTTCTAATAGTATAGGATTTACATGATAGGGATAAAAGTATCAAATTCGTATGAAATGGGTCCACACAAGATTAAAGATAACATATGTAGTAATAATAATTGCTATTATTACTACAAAACATAATTAATGGGATAAAATTATAGAGTAAATAAGAAAATTAGGCAAAATTTATGTTTAAACGACACTTTGAGATGGGAAAAGAAGCAATGATTGAAGACTTTGAGTGATCGTCTATGCATACTAACATCATACAATTGACGATACATCGATAAACGTTTAGATAGATAGATGGATAAATATGATCAACTTAGGGTCTGATGCGGGCATATATTAGTTCAGATTTTCATGTTTTACATTGACATACAGAGAGAGTGAATAGGGTAGTTTCGAGGGTGAAAGGTACATGAGTCGGGATAATAATACTCGTGATAATGAAATGTTAAATGTACAAGATATTACAGAAAAAGGGAAAAAAATGAAATTGGAAGGTAAAAGGTATAGAATAATATCAAACTATCTAAGTGAAGATTAGTGATGAATAGATTTATGTCACTGCAGCTGGTTTTGAATCATAGGTTGAGTGACATGATTGAGATAGCATTTACAGCAGTTTCAATGATCAAATAGACAGAAAGAAGCAATCATGAGCCCTGACATTAAAATATTTATCACTCAGAGTTCATTTAAGTACGATTATTAGGAATCATAGGGTATAAAAGCAGAATATTGAAACTAACGATATCAATAGTAGTAGACAAATAAGTGCTAAGAATCAAAAAAGAGGTATAAATAAGGGGTGAAGGATAGAAGGCAATATGATTTTTGGTGTCTAAGCTAAAAGTGAACACTAGATTCAGTTGGAATGTTAAAAATCGAGTAACAATTTCAACCGTCACTAACAATTGTCACACATACGAATAAAAAAGTTTGTATTTTACTGCATAAACCAGGTCAACACTTTTAATACATAAAAACAGGTTGATGGACTCGATTCTGTAAACTAACAATAACTCACTAAGATGCTTCATATACTTTAAAGCAAGTATGTAATAAATTTATGCCCAATGTATCTAAACCAATGTGCTCTAATTCAGTACTTATATCAGGTGAAACTTGAATATCAACAGTTATCCACCTAACAGAATAAATGAAGGGTTGCACAAAATCATGGATCGATTGACGTTAGACATTAACACCGTTGAACACTGGCTCGGTGATCTAAATTTCAAGCGCTCGCACGCGAGTTCGAAGGTTCTGGATTCAGGTCCTGAGTGCAGACTCGTGAATACGCACTGCTAAGTACTTCAATAATAGGACAAAATGATCGTTTAAAGATTCCAATGTTGATTTAACTTAAACTGAATCGTGAACTTAACTGTGAAGATATACGATTACATATTAATTTTCAGTTAACTAATGCGGTGATGAGTTCAATTTAATTGCTATCAACCAGTATGTATGATATAATTTTGATCATAATCAGAAGCCACAAAATGATTATTGGTTAGTAATAACGCACATACACGTATACAGGTATCACAATTGAAACACAATTCATAACAAATAACGTTTACAACTGAGGTTATCCGCAATATTTCAAATGTAATTTTATGAAACCAGTAATTTCGAGCATTTTCCAATTCATTCGATGAATGAGGGCTATAGGTTACAGGGTGATTGTCATTGACCTTTTTTTCTTAAGCTCTAAATTTTACCAGATCTGTATTCAACTGACTCATGAGTTCAATCTGTGAAAATCTCTAAAAATCTCCACAAAACACATTCTGATGATAATAATCACCTGCTCACTAGTGACTGACTTCAGGAGACACTTCTGGAGTTCTAGTGAGAAGTCGTTACCAGTGGAGTTCAACCAGGTCTGTTGTGAGATAGGAACTCACTGAAGACAATGGTGTACGGTAGCGCAACTTCGTGAATTGGTTGAAGTTAGACATTAACACCGTTGGATGCCGGCTCAGTGGTCTAATGGTTAAGTGCTCGCGCGCGAAGCCAGTAGGTCCTGGGTTCGGGCCCCGGGCGGTGCGGGGTCGTGGATGCGCACTGCTGAGGAGTCCCATACTAGGACGAAACGGCCGTCCGGTGCTACCAGGTTTTCAATGGTGGTCTAGCTTCAACTGACTCATGACTTCAATCTGTGAAGATCTGTATTAGTTAGATATCATGTTATGCATCACTAGACTGACCATTTCATAGCAGACTATTGTGGATAGCTTTAGACGCTTAAAATGAAAGGTTTAAATGAAAATCACACTTTAATATTCAGAATACTAAATTGACTGAAAGTGCTTGTGACATATTTTTGTGACATAAATTTTTAAACGCTAAAACACTGAGAATAACCTAAGTTACTCCAAAATTACAAATCATACTCAACGTATAAATATAATCTGTCAGTTAGTGAATAAAAATTTGTTTTTCAGAACATAGTTACTTTTAACAATTTTTATTATTGATAACTTCGTTGATAAGGTTGTAAATTTATTTATCAAGAAGTTTCCATACATTGTATGTAAACAAGATTCACTTATACTTAGTTAAGCATATATATTAAATACATGTTACTTTCAACAGTAAAATCAATTCAAGCAAGCAAACAAACAAACAGGATATAGCTAGTTATTATTAATGTTACATACATAAACAATTTTAAATATAAGAAGTATGCATTGACTATTGTGATGTTATTATCTCGTTTTATTCCATGTAAAACAACGTACTAGTTTTAAGACTTTAGAAATTTGAGCAAAATTAAATTCCTATTTCTTCCTAAACGAAAAACGATTTCGTTTTTACTAAGTATATGAATAGAAAAACGGCTGTAGTAAATAGACCACAGGAAATGATGAGATTATATTTGTTGCCAAATAGAATTAATGATTTTTCTTGAAAAAAAATAAAAATATGAAAACTGTCAGAAAGAAATAGGGAATTGTTTCATTTGTGTATCTTTACCATTGATAAAATCACCAAACGAAAAAAATAACTACTACCAGGTTAAAATTAAAAAGATATGGGTAAACATGGTAAAGAAGCGGGTTTTTTCTGGCTGGCTATTGTTTGAATTTATTGTCGTAAGGCAATTACTCACTGAAGACAATGGTGGACGGTCGCACAATATCGTGGATTGGTTGGAGTTAGATATTAACACCGTTAGATGCCAGCTTACTGGTCTAAATGTTAAGTGTTCGCGTGCGAGAACGAAGGTTCCGGGTTCAAGTCCCTTGTGAGGGATCGTGGATGAGCATTGCTGAGTCCAACAGTAGGACGAAACGGCTGTACAGTGCATCCAGGTTTTCAATGGGGGTTTAACATTGATCCATTCATGATCTTAATCTGAACTTAATAGTCTCCACAATTCTGTACTGAGTTTATTCATTGATTCCTCCTAGTGTGTGCATGTATGTAAACTAGGATTTCATAAGTCAAAGCGAACAAGAGTACAGATACCTAATCAAACGCGATAGTATTGTATTATTCAATAGCTTTCCGTTATGTAAAATATGATTATTTGAAAAGTGAAAGAAATCATAAATCAAATCGAACTACAATATAAATGGTTTGTTGACAGTCAGGATAAAACAATGAATTTAAGTTTTGCACACGTTGAAATTGACTGCAGATACGCTTCGTCTTTGCTTTCAGTCATCTAACATAAAGTAGTGTAGCTAGATGTCAAGTTATTTGGATTAGTCGGAGCATCGTTACTTAATCAACAGAATTTAATGATCGTTTGGAACAGGAAAACAAGAATTCGATTATTACTAAATGATCAATAATCGTGTATCTTATATAATGAAATTTTTGTGCCAACAACAGGGAAGATGAAACAAGGAACTTGAGTGAACTATGTTAAAACTCCCATATTTATGGAGCCAGATCATTTAATCCCATGAAAATGAATGATTTGAGAATGATTTTGACAAACATGTTAAAATTGAAAGTTAACATCATGATCAAATACTGATAATCTATGAATATCACACTTTAGAAGATCATGGTTCACACGCATAAGGTAAAGCAAAAAAAAAGATAAGTTTTTGATACTTGATGAGAATCAATTTTAAAGCAGTATCGAAGCTGTACTTAAGAATGGACTTTCGAATTGTTAGATAACTGATGAGCTAGATTTAATTTGTCGTCTAAATCAGTTGACGTGAGTGAGACCTTAATTTATTGGAAACCTTCGGGCAACACTAAAATGACTTTGAAATGTCTACCTA